TGAATCTGAGAAAATTATTCTGAACTTATTATGACACCACGTTCGCATGATATTACTAAAAAACCTACAATTCCTAGCGCAACGAGTACTACGGCGCATACACACAACTTTCAATATAACTAGCGTTAGGAATTTTGTCGCAATAAATTCAAATACAGGGTGATACAGAATTAAATTCCGAATGTGAGAAAATTATTCTGAACTTATTATGTCACCGCGTTTGCATGCTATTAATAAAAAACTACAATTACAGGCGCAACGAATACTACGGCGCAAACACACAAGTTTCAATATAACTCGCGTTACGGAATTTTGGCGCAATAAATTCAAATACAGGGTGAGACAAAATTTAATTCTGCATCTGGGAAAATTATTCTAAACTTATTATGACACCGCGTTCGCATGCTATTACTAAAAAAGCTACAATTACCATTAAGTGAAATATATACACCCCCCCTAATTCGCGAGCTATTGCAACACGCAGGTGAAATGTGATGAAACAGTTTATAATATAACTTAATTATAAACTTACCATTGCAGTGCTCACCGGATTGCAAGGGTACGGCAAGTACTGTAATTAAAAGTTATGTTCTATAAGTTAAAACAAAAACATTTCATACAATATGATATTATATTCACACATGGGAGAAATCAAACTTTCGGTGCTGAGTATCGCAATGGTCAGATAAAAGTAACTTACTCAAGCACGAATAGTTGGTTTTCAATTGATCTAGCGAGCGACAACGTCCCACAATAACCGAAATATTTGATTTGAAATATAAACATAAAAAGCAAGTAAAAAAACATTTATGCACATTAAACGTACAATTACTTATTAAGAAAACACTGCAGATGCATATTACGACTAAGTCGATTGATGACCGAATATAATGTAAACTTTGAAAATAGAAGTCTGATAAAACGAACACGTTACGCGATATACCTCTGGATACGCTAGAGTCCGGCACGAAACAAGCATATAGAGCATGCCGAAACTGCGCACGCAAGGAAGTGATAGTTCACAATAAGACTCTGTGCCTGCTGCATATACCCGGCAGGTAAAAGCAATAGTTGCGCAAAGCCAGCGCGTCGATGCCACGCGACCTTGTCCGCGAATTGCTATTGACACGGTGCCTGTGATTAGAACTAAACTAAAATGTGCTGCATGCGACATCGTGACGAGAATCTTACACGTAGCATCTCGCACGGCGAATGCGATAAGAAAGTGGTTTATACACAAACGCTGATATGACTCAAAACGAAAACAATTCTAATTTAAATCATGAAATTATGATTTATGATTTGAGTTTAATTGAAGCATTTATTGAAGCAAAGAATTCCGCAAACGATACCAATTTTCTAATTGCAAGAAATCAGGAAAACAGATACTATGAATGATAAAAATTTTACTTACCAGTGCATCGAACACCGCAAATCAAATGTGAGCAGATACTGAAATAAAGAAGAAACATACATTAGTTACACAATTTCGGACAATGAGTTCCGGCGGAAAACAAAGTTTACCATAAATTTCGTCTTGTTCTCCATAATTATTTAAACTAGTATTCGTACCAGGTAACACATTGAGCCAATCAGTTGTGCAGAAGTCAAAAATGGTTCGCACAAGTCCAAAATATTATTTATAATCACACCCAAAGTCGGCCGACCGGCGTCCGATGACAACCGATCAGTAATCCACGCAAAAATGTAATAAACACACAAAATATTGAATTTCGATTACATACGCAATAAATATTTACCGAATCACCAAACACGGTAATTAACACTAAATTCAATAAAATATAACGCGATATACAAAATTTACAACTCGAAAGACTAATACTCGACGGAGTATTCGGTATCACAACTGTGCACGTCGACTTTCAGTCGCAGGAATATTTTTAGTTAAAACGTGCATCGTTGAGCTATTCTCTATTCTCTATTCTCTATAAGATAGGATAGGTAAAACGGAGATCTGAGAGATGAAATTTTAAGTCCTAAAGAAAAATTGCCAAGGATAATTGATTTTTTCGACGATTTTCGATAATTAATATCTAAAAGCGACAGCAACCAACGAATTGCTGATTATGAAAGATTGAAAAATTCTCTATCAGATAAAAATATAAAATAATATTATTTCCAACAGTAAAAGGTCTAAAAACGCCACTAAAAGTACTAAAAAGTGACATTTTTCAATTTTTGCCCATTTTATTCAATCGTGAATATCTCGTAAACTAAAAGAGATATTTAGGATCTGATCGCAGCGTCTTAATCTATAGGCTATTCTCTATAAGATGGGATAGTTAAAATGGAGATCTAAGAGATAAAATTTTAAGTCCTAAGGAAAAATTGTCAAGGGGGGAGGTGATTGATACTTTTTTTCGACGATTTTCGATAATTAATATCTCTTAAACTAAAAGCGATAGCAACCAACGAATTGCTGATTATGAAAGATTGGAAAATTCTCTATCAGACAAAAGTATAAAGTAATTATACTTCCTAAAGTAAAAGATAGAAAAAAGCGACTGAAAGTGCTAAAAAGTGACATTTTTTAATGTTTGCAGATTTTATTCAATCGCAAATATCTCGTAAACTAAAAGAGATGCATAGGTACAAATTGCAGAGACTATTCTACGGACTAAATTTTGAAATTTTAATTCTTAAGAAAAAATTGCCAATGGGGGCTTGATAATTGATACTTTTTTCCGACGATTTTTGATAAATAATATCTCTTAAACTAAAAGCGATAGCAACCAACGAATTGCTAATTATGAAAGACTGGAAAATTCTCTATTACATAAAAAAATAAAATAATTATATTTCCTACAGTAAAAGGTCAAAAATATAAATGTTCGAAAAAAGTTGAAAAAAATAAAATAAAAAGCAATATAATTATAAAAATGCACTCTTGTCGTTTCATAAAATAAAGAAAAAAGTAAAATATGACAAAGGGTGCCCAAGATATGGCCTGTTTTCCACCACGTGATTTGTAATTTGCAAGAAAAGGCCTAACTTTGGCAGCCATTTTGAGGCAGTTACGACCGAATTACGCGTTGGTTCAGGGCTACATTTTAAAAATACCCTCTTGCCTCAGGCCTGCATTTTAAAAATGCACTCTTGCCGTATTATAAAATAAATAAAAAACTAAAATATTGCAAAAGGTTCCCGAGATATGGCATGTTTTTCAGCGCGTGTTTTGAAAATTGCAAGAAAGAGCGTAACGTTGTCGGCCATTTTGATGCAATTACGACCCATTTTCGCAGAGCTTCAAGGGTGCATTTTAAAAATGTACTCTTGCCAAATAATAAAATAAAGAAAAAACTAAAATATGACAAAGGGTTTCCAAGATATGGCAAAAATTGCAAGAAAAGGCGTAACTTTGGCGGCCATTTTGAGGCAGTTACGATCAAATTTCGCGGAAGTTCAGCGGTGCATTTTAAAAATGTGCACTCTTGTCCTATCATAAAATAAAGAGAAAACTAAAATATCACGAAAGGTTCGCGAGATATGGCTTGTTTTCCACCATGTGATTTAAAAAACGCGAAAAAGGGCAACGCAGGTCACAAAACATTTGACCGAATAATATAACTTAATAAAAACTTACCAATGCAGTTAAAAGAAAACATTAAGTTAAAATAAAAACATTGCATACAATATAATATTATATTCATACATCGGAGAAAACAAACATGCGCTGAGTAGCGCAAGTCATATATAAGTTACTTACTGAAGTACGAGGGGACCTCCCAATGACGGGAAACATCATGGCAACAATATGCATTTGGAATGTAAACATCAAACGCAAACATGGATATTAAAAGCACAATTAACCATTAATAAAACACTGCAGATACATGTTACAACTTAATAGTCAATTGATGACCGGATACAATGCAAATTTTGAAAATAAGAGTCCGATAAAAAGATACGAGTCGCGCGAAATACGTCTAGACACGCCAGCGACCGGCACGAAACTGGCTACAATCCATCGATAGCGCAAGCAACGATGCGACAGTCCCCCATAAGACAATGTGCCTGCAGCATGAACCCCGCAGGTAGAAGCAATAGATGCGCGAAGCGGCCCGCCGATGACACACGGGCATTCGATAACAAAGTGTAAATTGTGTTCAAAACAAACACAATTCTCGTATCGAATGCCAACGTTGCTGATAAATATAAAATAAATAATACAATTCTATTTTATGATTTTTATTTCAGGCAAGTGCCATCTCTGAATGCTGCAGATAGTAGTCCTGCAATTATAATTATTAAAACTAATCAAAAATGAAAATTCGAGTTGTGTAATTCTAATTTCTCATGGCGAGCGTAGAGTGTTTAGCTTTTATCTGCAGGGAAACAAAATCACGGCGCCCACGACATTTTACGAGGTATACTCATATCAAAATTGATCTCTAAAACTTCAATCAAAGTATTATCGAAGACGCCAGCTACTGAATTAACCAGTGGCAGATTTCAAGGGCGCGAGCCTTCATAACATTTGTAGCAACTTGGCGAAGAAAACAATTCTGGAATCTGGTACCCCAATTCACGATCTTCAACGAATTAGTATATAAAGTATCATGTGAGCTAAACTTAATGCAAACTCTTGACTAAAGTACCGTTTAGCGCAATTGATACTTAAGATACCATTATTTATACGTGAATAAGAGCAATTTTTCTGTTGAGTCTGTTTCTAACGATAACCTCGAGGCGAAACATGTATACTCAACAAAAGAATTGTATATCATATTCACATATAAATAAAACATTAAACATGTTACATATTCACATATTCACAAGTTACATATTCAAAAACGCAGATAAATTTAATTATAAAAACTACTGTCTTCCAAACATCACCAAGTTTTCTCGGTAAAATATTCGGCCCCTCCTAGATTTATTAATATCCTTGAAACAGTTAGCAAAAAAGATGAGAGTCAAGATTTGTTTTATTGTTGCGGCGAGCGACGCGGGCAAGTGTTAATCATTTTAATAGCGTCTTACATCTATGTAGCGGCGTTGTCCTTTTAATTTCTTTCAATCAATTGCCTTGGTACAAAGTGTCTTATAGTATAATGTTATTTTATTTTAATTTATATATTCAAAATAAAATATAATATTAATCCTTCGGGAAACTGACAGAGTTATGGGATAGGTCTCTCTCCCTTAGCATACTTTCTAAATCAGAAACAGCAGCAGAGACCTGAAACAATCTTCCAAACACATCACCCAAATCATTGTCCTGATTTGTAATTACAAATGAATCTGTAATCAACTTATTATAATTCAATTCTGTAAATATCATTTTCAATATCAAACTTACCAGGCCTTTCTTGGACTAATTTCTTGCAATATACATTTGTAATCAAGTCGATTTCATCCTCAAATTCCACACCTTGACGTTCACTGCTTAAGTGGCCTCGGTTGTGTTTAATGAATGAAATGGCTGTGGACCACCTTTCGTTAATAATAAAATCGTAGAGCGATGACTCCAATTCTTCAATTGTTGCATTAGATGGAGACATTGCTGTAGAAGACACAGGAGTTGGAGTTCCACTATCTGCCTCAATCTCTTCAAGTGTTCGATTCAAATTGCTTCGAATTAATATTATTTCATTCGTTACATCCTTAAACTAAACAATTAAAATTAATTATCTGTTATGAAACTAACTCGCTACTATACAAAATTTCTAGTCTACATATTACTAATAATTACGTTAGAGGATTTCAATGTCGCAGTTAAAGTAGAGATCATCTTGTTTGCAGCTTCAATCAGTAGAAGGAGTTGAAAATGTAACTTGTACAATGCTTTAGATAGATCAAGCAAATAATCCTCCAGTCGATCAGGCATTTGCACGCTCAATTGTTCAAGTTTTAATGACGTTTTTATAGAGTCGGAAAACTAATAAAATTTTAATTCATTAATATTTTTGTATAGTAATAATTATATCAGCATTATTAATAATTCGATAAACATTACCATTGTCGCCTGTTCCCTTTTATCGCAAAAAGTTTCCAAGTGCTCTTGAACTTCGAGAATTCCATACCGCAATGTCTCGTTCAGCTTGGAAGAACTTAAGACCATCGAATTAAACCAAATGAAATGTGTTGGTAAAACGCGAAGATTCACAATATCAATCATAGAAGTAAGTCGGGAACTGATTAGTTTTATAATTGCAGTGCTACTCGATTTGGTCAGATGTGTACAAGACTCGCGCGTAATTATAATGGACGAATTCGATATACTCTAAAATTAAACAGAGCAAAAGGTAACATAATACCAAATCAATTCAAAAGCATATTAACTATAATTATAAATCCCCTTACACGTATTAAGCGTTGCAATTGATGAAAGAGTGCAAGCGCATTCGTCTGCGAGAGATTTGCTTGTACATATGCAGACCACGTTTCCAGGGTATCGCTTCGGGTTAAGGGTCGCATCAAAACCGACAAATTCGGCGATGTATTACATGGCGTTACATCCCCCATATCTCCAACACTTGATCCACTTGTGTCCGAACGAGCACTGGAATTCTGTCTACTTCGAGGTAAGTTCAATGACATTGGAGGAAAAATAGCACTTTCAGTATGGCTACTGGTATCAAACTCGGAAGCAGCAACAATTTCATCCAAAGGAGATTCGGAACCAATTTCATCATCAGAAGACTCTTCAGCAACGATTCTTTTGCGTACCTTTAACACCGGAGTTTTTTCGCTGATGCTGTCTTCCAAATGTTTCAAACTCGGGTGCTCCTCCTCGCCTTCACTAAGTGGACGACGACGCACGCCCCAATTAAAGTTGTCAGTACTCTCGCCTTCAATGCTTTCGCTTTCATATTCCAAAAAATCAAAGTCTTTAAAAACACCGAAGTCAGCAGTATGATCATCACGTCTCGATCCGCCGCTATGATCATTGTTTCCAACAGAAACCTCCTCTGTACTGGAAGCCATACTTGATTGCCGTTCCAAAATGTCGGAACTTTGACTGAATATGACCTGCAAAACCACATACCTTAGGTTTTCTTAATTATCAATCAATTTGATGTAAAGCACGTTTTGAGAAGTGCAATTTAGTATAATGATGTGCAATATACAATGTAATAATCTAAATCAAATAATTATGGTGTGACGACAATAAAACTAGACCAAATCATGCAATTTACAAGCTTGGAAAAGCAGCAATGTGCACATGATTACTAAAAGTTCAGCAAAATATATCAGTTTCATACATGGACATCCAAAGAATTTAATTTGCGTTAGTGTCATAAATAGTGTAGTGAAACAAATCAGTAATCGAATGGTAAAAGTCGTCAAAAAAAAAGAATACTTAAAATAAGTAATTGTTACCTTTGAATATATTGTACTAATCATATCGTCCTATAATGTGAACCATTAGAGAAAAGAAAATTCCACGATTAGTATGTTATATAGTTGTTTATAGAGAGGCTCGGTTTTCGAGTCGGTTAGTGTTAAGCATTTGTTGTTATTGTTAGATTCAAAAATTTGAATAACTTGATGGTGACTTTGCAATAAAATAAGAAACAATTAATACTAAGATATGATTGGCATGGCATGCTAACATGAATTCAAGCACAATTTACTAGTAACGATAAATTTCTCATGAATATATATATATATATATATATATATCATGCTCTCTAGTAGCTAATAAAAATCTATTACTTACGGAAGGGCTCTTTGGCAAACCAACTCGTTGTCCGCATGTAGTCAATAAGTTGACTAGGCATTCACGCACACGTCCCTATACAGAAATTTTACAATTTTAAGTTGTCTCTCGATAATAAGATGAGATATTTTTTTCCTTTGAGTTTTGTTGAGTTTTGTATGTATGGTCTGTAAGGCATTGCCAGTACCAAAATGGGCTTTACAGTGTTGCAAAAGTTTTTGTTATATGTGTGGACTTTACGGTATTTGAGTGGTAATAAGGTGTACAAAGCCTACTCGAAAAATATTATGCAATTTTACCTGTGACAACCACGACCGTTTCCAGCCGGATATTAAACCAGTATCCGCAGGACTTAAGGAGCATGAGCGCCGGGGAGAAGCCATCACAGTTAAATTTTCCTCAGGCTTATTCACTTTCAAGAAACGTCTACCAATCACAGGTGTTTGAGAAACATCAAAAGTAAAATCCATTGTTCTTCCTGCAATGCCAATGTTTTCCATTAGTTAACTTTTAGGTAATTAGCCTGATAAAATTTAATAACTCGTGTTTCCACTTTAATAGATAATATGTAGATTCTGTACCGAATTATTCCTTCCTACCTGGCAATTCCTTCTTGCTAAAAACGTCAATATCACTAAATGATGGATGAGGCACTGATGTAATATTACTCTCCCAATAGCTAGTAATATGAGTTGGTGGAGCCACCAAACTACTAGACCTAGTTACAACAAGTTTCAAAATCTTCAAAGATTCTTTCCAATGAGGGCCTTCGATATATCTAGCTATAACTCTTAAGAGATCGGCATTAATCGGTTGAGAAGCCGCAGAGGCGAGATCCACGTAATGCAACATGCAGTGTAAAATATTCAGCACTGGTAGTTGTAGATTGGTTGGACCTTTTTCCAGTACTTCCACCAAAAATGTAAGCATATTCAAAGATAGATGTGAGTAAGTGTCGTAAAGATATTTTATAACACATTTTGTCCACTGAAAACTCTCTTTACTAAAAGTCCGCCGACTATACAGATTCATGACGGTACCAAGATTCTCCAGTTTCTTGCTTTTCTCAATACTAACTTGTGCAATATTATCAGCACTTTTGATGCAAAGTTCATTAGCATCTTCGTAGTTGAGCAACATATACGGAAGCAACGCAATAACATTCATAGGAAATGCGATGCTTTGTGATGGATCCACGACAACCAAATCCAGTAATGGTGTAAATTGCGATAGTAGTACTACTACAGCTTCATAAATATTAGGGTGGGTACAACCTTTCAATAGTAAAGCATGAACACCTGGAAATTGAGCCCAACGCAGTTGCGCTTGAAGCTTTTCCACTTTATCTCTGGCATCTGGCCTGTCCAATGGCAATCGATGCATAACTCGGGCTAATAATCTCAATGCCAAAAGAAATTCGTGCTCGTAATCGCTCTCTAAAAGCGACACCGAAAGCCAAAAAAGTTGTGCTAAAATTGTCATTTTATCATCCTGACTGGCGGAATCTCCCATTAATTTTAAACTTTGTGCACTTCGAGATCGTGATAGATTAGAAGAGAATTTAGTCGCAGATGTACGATTCTCTACTTCCATTGAGTTCCGCGAACGCATCTCTTTAGTATCACTCGCGGGCGACCCGGAATTTTTCCTTAATCCATAACTTACGGAATAACTCGTACTTCTGGTATGACCTGTTTGAGTGTGGTGCAAAAGACACGGTTGCATATCTCCACCAACGATATTACCATTGTTTGATCTCTTTAAAGCACAATCCTTATTGTTTAAATTAGGAGTAGATTTAAAGAAATCGCGCATAAAGTCGAGCGGACGGAAATCGGACTCAAGATAGTCTACTGCTGACTCCAAGGTTAGCAACAATTCAGTAACGTATCCTTGCATATCTTCGCCCTGTTCAGCTACAGTCTCGACGAGTCGACTCAAAATCTCCGATAACATTCGTGAAGTAATAGGCACGCGTAAAGCTCTATATATTTGTAAAGAGCGCCCTGCATAATGACGGGAAGAACAACTGAGGCCAAGCTGAAGTGCCGTCTGAGCCCATCGTTCATTAATGTGCGCGTTTGGTAAGGAATCTTGAAATAGTCTTAGCACATGCTGCAGGAAAATATCGATCTGCTCAGCACTCCGCACCTGCCACAATTTTGCTGTAATATCTTCATACGGCCATAAAGGTTGATTTTGACGAGTTGATATAAAGTGAATCAGTGATTTTATAGCATCTTGAATCGATAAGTTAGGGCCCCCTTCAGATCCAGACCAAATCAATTGGTCTTCAGCTGTTACAATAACGGGTGGTCCAATTGCTTCCTTTTTATCGTCTATTTTTGCCAAGAAAAGGAAACATAAGAATAATAAGATTTACAATAAATGTTGCCAATAAATTAAAGCGTACCTGGTACATTCAATTTCGTGTTGCATTCAACTTCGCCAGTTCCGGGTGTTTCTTCGGTAAAATTGAGTGGAACTGGACCTTGTAGATAACTGTCAAACGTCGTATCAGGTTCTATGGAAAAATCTCTATTAGAAAATACGTAATCCATGATATTGATAGCTTATTTTATTTATACGTGTTGAATTACAATTATCCTGATATTACGATATCCTAGAGGCATAACATGTCATCTCAAGACACCAAAACTTATAATTCAGCACATATAAATAAAATAAAATAAAATAAAATACAACAGAAAAATATCGTCAAAATAAAAGTTGTATGGAAGCAATATGCAAGATTGATATAAGTGTAATAAAACTTTCACCTGTAAATGTGTGCTTCAAAACTGGTAAAATAGGCGTAGGCAGTCCAAATTCCAAATTAGTTTTACTGTTCAATAGTATATGTGCCACCACAAGATGGTCATTATGTTGTGCTAAAACAATCAACAAATTCAAGAGCAATTGTTTGCAGTGCTGATGAACTAGGGGCCTTGTGTGATCCAAACCCAAAAATAGAATATGAAGTATAAGCGGTACATGGACTGCCCAATCAATGTCTATGCCGTCGATTACGACATCACAGAGAAGCATAACGGCAACATTACATCGATGGAAACCGGATATAGGTTGGGAGCTGTCTGGCAGATATTCCGTTAGTGGCGCAAAGTAGCCACCATATTCGGGCATTGGTAGGGGATGAGGCTGTGGAATTGATATATCATTTTTTTTCGGTTGTTCTGGTCGAGCCAGAGAAAACAAATCATCAGAATTCTGCGAAAGATAAAAAAATTAATTAGCACCAAAAATTGGAAAAGAAATAATCCTAACAACATACTTCATCAGTAGTTGGGGTGCAGTCCTCGGATATGTTTCCGTTATTGTGGTGATTTTTTGGAGAGCGCATATCGTGCAGCATCGTCGCATAAGATATAGCAAATGAACCCTCTGTGACATTTCCGTTGAGGCGAACACCGGAATCAAAGTCGTGGAGCAACGGATCCATTTTCGGCGAGCCGCACTTTGTCGGATCTTCGCCACTATGCCTCTTGGTGTGAATTGTGCCTTTTTCCACCCCTACATTAAATATAAATATATGTATATATTAGTGCAACGCTATTGTTAATAATACTCTAGCTCAAAATGTTCTCGATTTTATTCACTAATTATATCGTCTATTGTTTTCTATTCTTTAACTTTTCCCTGCTTCTTATTACTGTTCAAATCACGATTGATATAAAATACTACAATTATACGATTTTATTTGGTAGTAGCCACAAGATGAACACAAATATTTTAAAATGCCAAACCGGCATCATTGTATGTTTCGACAATTTTTGTGACCGAGCTGATATATGCAGCAGATCGAAGGTCCAAGCCAAGCTCGTATTTTTTCGCTACTTCCTGTATGTTCATAGCGGCACGCTCCATTGTAAACTGCAGTCCTGAGTTTACAATGTCCTTCTCGGAGGCACACTGTAACTTTGCATCCAGCTCATCAGATTTGTGGATAGGGACGTCTTCGCCAAAATGTTGCTTAAGTGACTCAGCCACAGACTGTAAAATCAGTTTGGACGTGTCCTCTTCGTATTTGAACGTCAGTCTACCAAATGACACGTGGTTCAGATCTTTCAGCCACTCGAAAAATGATACAGTGACGCCCCCAGCATTATTGAACAGATCAGGTACAACGAGTATATTTCTATTTTGTAGTATTGTATCCGCTGCGGGAGTAGTGGGACCATTCGCTCCCTCCGCGACAATTTTACAGTTTAATTTCTCGGCATTGCTTTTGGTAATAACAAGTTGTTTAGCAGCAGGAACGAGAATATCGCACTCTTTATAAAACAATTCATCACCTTCCATATCCGTTGACCCTTCAAAGCCTTTAATAGAACCGGTGGCCTTACGGTGTTCAAACAATGCCATTGGGTCGATGCCTTCTGGATTTTCAATTCCCCCGTCAACTTCAATAACGCCTATACATTTGGCACCAGCTCGAACAAAATACCGTGCTGCATGAAAGCCGACGTTACCAAATCCTTGAACTATAAATGTTTTGCCCTTCCAACCCGGTTCTGCCAGTCCCACCTTGTCAGTCCAATATGAGTTTTTAATAAATACGTCAACACCATGAAAAAGACCGCGGCCAGTAGCCTGGGCACGACCATTGATGCCACCTTGATTTATCGGCTTGCCAGTTACCACCGCATGAGCATTGATGTCTTTATAGCCAATTGTTTTTGAATATGTGTCAGCAATCCAAGACATCTCCCGCTCGGATGTACCCATGTCAGGTGCGGGGACGTCAATTCCTGGCCCTATAAAACCTTTCTTTGCCATCTCCAGCGCAAATCTTCGCGTGATCCGTTCTAATTCCCCCAGTGAATATTGTGTCGGATCAATTTTTAAGCCAGCCTTTGCTCCTCCAAATGGCACTTGAACGCATGAACATTTATAAGTCATCAAGCACGCTAATGCAGTAACTTCATCTCTGTCAACATCGCTTGCGTAACGTATACCGCCTTTGGCTGGAAGCCGATGCATGCTATGTTGGGCCCGGTAACCTTCAATAACTTCATACCTGCCATCGTCGCGACGTATTGGAAAGTTAAACTCGCCGACATACAAACATTTTTGTAGCAGAGCGAAAATACCCGTGACTCGAGCTTTGGCCTGCTTTTCTGTCAGTTTGCTGCCCTTTTGGGCAAGCATGGAATGTATTAGATTTTCTTCAATTTTTGCAGCCGCGGAATGAAAAAAATAACTGACCATTTCAAAGAATTTGGGCGAAACTTCATCTGCAATCTCCTTTATGTGATCAGGAATTACGTGTTGACTCCGACTTGGAACATTGAACATTTTAAGTATTTGCACTAATGAACGCACCTGACTCGAAAATAAAGAGGTCATACTGAATACTTTGATTGTACTAAAAGAATTTTAACAAATTTGGAGCCAGAGACTCGATTTTGAAAAAAAATGTAGAAACTTAATTCAAATAACGTAAAATTTTACGACAATTTTAGTCGACATTATTATTGGTTTCCTTGGAAATTAAAAGAACACGAGATCAACAAAATGCATGTAATGCCTACCTAGATCGCTTCGACTATTCGTATCAGTCTGTCCTGCAACTCCACCTGTGCCGTCCGAATGACTCGAAGTTTTACGCATTACAGTGAGTCTGTAGAACGGTGGCGTTTCGGTGCGCTCGATAAGGCAATTCAGTGTCTCCACAGTTTGCAGCTCAAACATCATTTCGTCTAGTAATCTTGCAGTTTGTACTCGGGCCAGGTAAACAACCACGCGTTTGGCCTGCCAGGAAATAAATACAAAATGTTTAGGCGAATATGTGCATTTCATTCGTATTCATTATTCCCGGAGTTTTGAAGTGTGTGAAGTGAATTAAATGGGCTAAATAACTAACAACATATCCGTGCATTTTACTTAAAATAGTATGCAAAGAATACTTACATATGGTAGCAATTCATTTGGCGCCATACCACTAATAATAATGAGATATCGAATAATGACCTTCATGTTATTAGGCCATGAAGTGCACAACGTGGCCCACACATGGTCCATTTCTTTCGAATGATTATCACCAAACTGCAAACAATGTCAATTTTATTCAGGAAATGCCAATATCAATTTGAACATTTCGTAATACCTTTGCTGTAATATAGAAAATATTATTCAGAACCATTTCTGTCGCTTCCGCTGAACCCCATCCTTCTTTCCGAACCCCCGCTTTTGCAGTCTCATTTGCATAAAACTAGAAAATTATACAATACACACACCATGTAAATAAAGAAAATACCGAGTGTAGATAAGTACTACTACTACATAAAATTCGATCGAATAGACCCTATAATTTGTAATTTTGTTTCTATCTTCCACCTTTAAAGCGTCAGTTTTCCCACGGTTTTTACACACAAAAGTGGTATTTTAAACACAGACGGCTAAGGCCGTGAGTAAAATTCTTTACTCACGGGGCGCCCCTTTAGCCACTTGATACTTAATGTACTATTATCCGATAAGTACCTGATAATAAAAACTTGCATTCGTTGGTGGTACATTTGGATCCACGAGCTCCATGTTGTGCAACCATGGCACCAAGTACTGCAAAAGCAATTGTCGAACATCTGGGCGAGCCGTTTGAAAACGGTGAGTAATTTCTATCAAAGTACATAGATTAATGATTGCCAAAAAAATACGATTTAAAATTACCAGAAAACATAGGCATAGTTAGCTCCGGATGAAGTTGAGAGAGTTGGCTACTCAGATGAATTTGGGACCGGCAATACGTTCGCGCGAGTAGAGTGTCCAGTGTGCTGCGCCCTTTATCTCCCTCAGCTGAAAAATGTAGAATACGTTAAATTAAGCAAAAAAAGAAAACTTCTGTTACCCAAATCCAACAATATAAAATAAATTTTTGAACACTGACAATTATCATTGCTGGATTTACTCATTTGCCAAAATCTTTACTCTCTGTTAATATTTTATTAATCAATTTAATCAATTGTTTTTACTTCGTTTTAACATACATACTTGCAAAATTGAAAATATTCCATATCTGTATGTTACGGTTAATGAGCGATGAGAAGTAAATCAAGACATTTGCCAGGTAAATGTAAACATTTTACCGATCGCTGACACTTGCGCACACTTTTATCGAAAATTAATGGGTCTGCCCACATATACCATATTATATTTTATTATATAATATACACTGATAATGACATTACAAAATAAAGCCGACCCTGTCCAGTTCCACCAAAGCGCAAACATCCGGTATATGACATCGGAAAAAACAGAAAGACAAAGTTCGTCCGGCATAATGGAGCCAAATTTTCCATATAATGACGAAGAACAAATTTTAAAAATATATAAAATAGAAAAATATTTATCCAATAATGTATTGGATGTACCTACACGCAATGTAAACAAAAAAAGTAACAAATTACCTCAAAGTGTTAAATTATAATAAATAAACAACTCAAACCTTCAAAACTACGCATTAGTCGTTCATCTTTGATTGAATAATGGAGAAAACCGGAATATACTGCTTTTATACAAATTATGTAATGTAGGTGCTAATAATTAGCCCAATTCTGGAAGATACCTAAACTGCATGTAATAATGAGAAGAAGTCATTTAGGCATCAACTCAAAAAATAATATAGAAGATTCAGAATATTAATCGTTACCCCACAATTTGCTGCAATTAATACAACAATGTGTAAAACTCCGATTTAATTCAAGTGAATGGGCCGTGTTCTAAAAAATATCCCGCGCCTATTTGATTCGACAAGCGCCGCGAGCAATGAAGGAAGAGCGTCCCGACGCATTCAGTTACCAGCCGACCGATGGTTTGCGCAAATCGGCGCCGTTAGGCTGCAAAACACACGTGGTGCCGCATGATTAATTAGTGCCCTCAAGTGCAAATTTAAATCTGTGCATGTTAGCAAACAAATGTTTAGATTGATTAAAATAGAAACAATCTGCAATATAAAGTAAAGAAAATCTCTGCAACAGTAGGTATGCGATAATTGATGTTATTTTGTTGCTTCGTACAGCTTTTATTTCTAGACTCGAAGAATTGAATTGTTGCAATGAACGACTCTTTGGAAGTAGAGCCGTCCTTGTCGCGATATTATGTCGAACAAACCCAATATTACGTGATACCATTCTTAATAACTTTCGGCATTTTGGGAAATTCGCTCTCTGGCTATGTCATCCTTAAAACAAAATTGAGGCAACTTTCATCATCCATCTATCTGTTAACACTCTCCAGCAATGACTCCGTCATGCTGATCACAATCGGTATTCAATGGCTTAGCCAAAACGATATCGACTTGTACAACCAACCAATATTGTGCCAAGTGATAACGTACGTGAGTGATTTGTGCGCCTCAATGACTGTATGGTTAATAGTCGTATTCACTGGCGAGCGCTTCATGGTAGTAAAATACCCCCTTCGAGCAAAATTTCTCTGCACTGTGCGACGAGCACAACTCATAATAATCATTCTTTTTATCACAATGCTAATATTCTATTCTCCGCTCTTATTCATCGCTGGATTGGAGTTCAGCAATCACGCGAACCGCACTGTATGCAAACCGAAAAAGGAATGGCACCGCGTGGGTGTAATATTTAATAGTTTCGACTTCATTCTAACTTGTATAATACCTGTGCTCATTATTTCCGTTCTTAATTCAATTATCTGCCAAAAAGTGTGGAAATTCACCAATCTGAGGCGGAAGATGACCGACGATTTTCAGATGAATAATTTAACGCGTGGGACGCATGTAGTGAACCATCTGTCCGTGAAGGCGGACAAGACGTCATATAAAATGACCAAGATGCTACTGGTCGTGTCGACAGTTTGTTTATGCCTGATTTTGCCAAGTTTCATTATGCGCTTCATAGTGCATTTAAACACGGTGAGTACATATATTTAATACAGCTTCACGCTACAATCGTAATTTCAATATTTATTATACATTAAAATAAACTTTGTGAAAATCAGTGAATAGTAATATCGCGACCATCACTATCACTCGCAAACAACAATGTGATGGCTACATTTACATTTAATTTTTTTTTGCCATTTTTGAGGAAAATCCATTAAAAGAAAATTGCAGCACCACATTGCATGAACTGATGTTTGAGCTAAATTTAATTGTTTACGAAAAACTTAATTAATTATTTCCGAAAGGTTCATTCATAAAATCGTAAACATGTAATAATATAATTGCAGAATTAGTGCGATAACTACTTGAAAAATGGTAACAATATTTTAACAAATATTTTCATGTACATCATTTTATAAGAGTAATGTAATTTTTCTGCTTTACGGTTTTCCAATTTTAGATTTATTAGCGTGTTGTGCTACAAATTTTTGGGCGTTCATGTGCTACGCTAAAGTCAAAATAGCACTAACTTATTATAAAATTTATTGGGAACTTAAGAAAAATTAATTTGAAAAAATTTCATTTTAATAAATGATTTATAATGTTTAAATATTTATCCCAAATATTTTTTAGTAAATCATTATAAAATAATAATATTAAATTAGCCACTAATTTGACATAATCTATCACAGACCCACGTTTATACGTCAAGTCTAGTTATTCTAATTTATTTTCAATTAAATGTTATATATAGCGGATCACAAAAATAAAATTACTTTAATTATCGAATGCATTTGCATCATAAACAAAAACTTAAATCAACAAAATGCTACTGTAATTAAGGTTATATACGCGGCATATCGGAAATATTCCAGATTTCCGCACAAATTGCACACAATCTGTTTATTTTTGCTTGATGTTATCGTTAAGATACCTTAAAGGTTTAAACAACACCGTTTATGTTAGTCGGCGGGTGCTGCTATAAATTTAACTTGCTCTTGAACGCTTATACAGCATGCTGGACCGGCGGTCGTTTGAACATTTTTCATTGAAACTAAATCGTTAATAACGCAGAAATAATAAGCAGACGCCTCAAAAAGCGCTAGAATTTATGCACTATTAGCAAAGAGCAAATCATCACCTCAATATTCTACAAACAACAATTCATGTTACACGCGTTGGAATAATAACGTGACAAGAGCATATAACAATCATACGTACTTGTATCTATGTCTTTAAATTATCACATTAAATAATATAACAAAATATTTATGTTTAGTTGGGACTCGTCATTATCTCTGACAACTTTATAACTGCGCAACTGTACGTGCAATTTCTTTACTACTTGACATTCGGCATCAATTTTGCGCTCTATTGCATCAGCGGCCAGAACTTTCGAAAGGCCGTATCGGCAACATTCTGCAAGTGTAGATTTCGACATAACACCCGAAACACGGTTACAGGAACTGGTAATGGCACAGTTTATCCTAACAAATTATAACATCAATAACATCCAATTTTAGAAAGAACACAATATTCATCGCTATCCACTCATCCAACGATCTTCCGCAACCGAAAAACTATGGGGGTCTCGGATATATCGATCTGAATAATCCTCAGATTATATGTATATAATACTATATAACTATAGTGATATATTATATTTAATATAAAATAATATGTAAAATGAACGTAATGAAAATGCCAATTTAGTGTGTATTATCAATTTAAAATTGGTTTAAATTATATCAAGTGCCCGACAAAATCAAATAAAGCATGTTATTAGGTGTGCGGTGTTTCTTATGCATACAATAGCCGAAGATTTCAACATTTCTAATTAGTGGATGATCACGCCTTTGTGTCTACGTACGAAGTTTAAAGTATAACCTACTTTAGCGACCATTTAAAAATTGTGAAAAAAAGATCACGTGATTAATGGAGATTAATGGAATTAAATAAATAAACTATAGTAATATTCACTCACCTAAATCTCCTTCCGCCAATGGTCGCACGGTACCAAAGAACCTCTTATCAAGCAGTTGCAGCAATTGAAGCGCAGTATCTCGTACGTGTGGTCGTGGACATCCAGTATTCATCAGAGTGACGTTGATTACAGCTGTGTAGTGATCACAAGGATATTCTCTGTTATCAGAAAAATTCGATCACTATATTTTGTTAGGCAAAGTGTGTAATTATTTACCTTGCGCTGAATATCGTGGCAAGTGCTAGAAAGCATCCATCTGCTACTGTTTGTGCTCCCGTATAACAACGATCCACACACCAATCCAGAAGATGGTCGATGTCTGGATTAAATTCAAGCAACAAAACGACAGTTTCTTTAGCCAAATTATACACCTAAACAGAAATGTCAACAGGTAAATTGTCAACCGACTATCACTCAATTATTTACTCGATCTTCGTGACTCTCTAGCATCATATCAAGCCATTTATAGTAAATTCGATCATCAGATGTATTAGTGTCGTCAAACCACGGTCCACAGCAAAGCAACGCAGTCATTGCTTGCAAAACGCAAAACTGCGCATCATTCACTTTTTTGTCTTTGTAATGTACATCTTCCACGACAATTTTTCGAATTGGTGCTCCATAGTAACCCGACCAGGTAGAAAATAATATAAGCAATTTTCTACGCAAGTCTTTTTTTAAAAGCGTCCTTAGAGTTTCAACTGTAAAGGAAGCAGTATTTTAATACCATTTCAAAGATATGAAGACGAGAACAAAGACTTACGGCTGAAACTTTTGATCATTTTCCGAATAAAAGAACAAAAATAGTGAACAATTTCTCTGACGTATGTGGTGTTTTTGTCGGGCTCGGATTCGAGGTACAAACGCGCCCCGTCCATGTATTCCAGAAACGCGAAATGCAATGCAGAGCGATCAATCACAAACGAGCTGACGCCAAACGTGCCAGATTCGGCAATAAGTTCCAACACTTTAATTAATTGAAATCGCAAAGAATCGCGTCGCCGCCTCCTTCTCACATTCTCCTGCTTACGGTCGACAGCTTCGCGAATATATGGTACTAATTCCTCCATTAAATCTCTGAAAGCACCAAGTTTAGTTAATCCAAAGCTGTATTACAAATAGTCGAAATAAAAAGCCATACTTTAATGCTTCATTGTTGACATTCCCGAGGGCGTTCACGGCGGCTGTGCGCACATCCAACACCTCGCAACGCAATAATGGCACGATCAGCTTGAAGAGGGCCGTTGGAGAGGCGGTCAAGCCGGCTCCTAGCTTCGTCTCATTGCGCTCCGCGTTTAGACTATCAGGTGACGAACTACGGAACACAAACAGCATCAATTAACATCCCTAAATTGATCAATAGCGATTGCCATGATATTTAATGTCGTTTGATGTAAAGTGAATCATGTATGTTTGCCCATTGTATCTGGAGAATTGGTTGAATGTCTGAGAGCCGAATGAAGCTGTTCAAATAATGTACGCTTTGATAAATATAAAAAAACTTGTGCAAATGATAATCATTAATCTGAAAATGCATTATAAAATATTATAAAATAAAAACAAAACGTCAACGACACGATACGATCTAGAAAAAGTTACTAAGAACTAAAGTAAAATGCGTATTCAACATTCACCTGGTTCGCTTATGTTGTCGCCGAATGGCGGAGAGTGGCAGAGTAAATCTGCCCGTGGAGATCAAGCCCTGCGCTTGTACCAAATTCTCAAGGCTTGTACTGAGCTCACTTGACTCAACAACACCTTCCAAAGAACTTTTCAAGAGGAAAGACACAGATATTCGTTCAATAATTAAATAAGAAAAAAAGAATTAAATTAATGCCGCAATTGTTTGAATTATCTCAATTGATTTTGTTTCTCCTTATATTTCCGTTTACTATAAAGCACGAGCGTCCCAAAAACCCAGCAATTAGCTTTAGTCTCTTGTGAATTAAGAAGTGAAAATAAACAACATAAGTGATTTACAACTTTACACACACAGCCACACATATATTAGTTACAGAACGTAAAACGAAATACTGCAGACTAGTACGAAAAGAATAAAATACTGTGAATGGCAAGTCAACCACAATAAAGTGAACAATAGTATACAAACGTGGCAATTGCTTGCGTGTATATAGCGCCGTGTTGCGTGTAATTTGCACTCACCTAAGACTGAGATCAGGGCTGGCGCAGCGAATCACCGGATTGGGTACAGGTGGAACCACTTTAAATGCAAAAGTTATGTAGTTTTTCCATAGAAAAATGTAGAAATCGCGCTCATTTAATGGTTTTTTTACTGTTGTAGAACTTCGAAGCAGGGAAGCACGGTTATCATTGACCGGACTAAAATATTTTTTTGTCAACATTTTAATAGCGCCTACTTTAATATTTACTTACGTTGGGTCAATAACAGGATACAACGAATTCAACCTACTGAATACCATTGGCCAGGAATGCTGCACCACTGAAGGACAAAGAGACAGAATTCGGTCGCGCTCTAAGAAAGCAAATAAACAGGTGCCCCAAGGATCAACAGCATCCACTTCGTACATGACCGACTTTCCGTCTTCATGTAAACCAGCTGTCCAAAGTGTTGTATTGCGCTCGGCCAGCCACTGAGTGTCAATATTGGGTGCGCTAAGAATAGCTGTCTTCTCGCCCGGTGGTAGAATACCCAACACCTTCTCCACCACTTGCTGCACAAACTGATCCATAACATCCACGACCGATGGCTCATTGGTGCAAGCGAGCTGCTTTTGTAAAATCTTCACATCACGCAATATCATGATCGAAAGTTTTCGCGGTACAATACGATAATTGCACAGCATAACCAATGCGTAAGATTCAATAAGATGTAATACTGAATGAATAGGTTCTGGTTTCGCGTTGTCAGTTCGTTTATTTGCATCCTTATTCTTAATCAACGTTCTAGTTCCTTCACTATTAGAACCTTCTTTGGCAGGTCGCATGCTTGGCAATTGAGCGTTTGGAACAACCGCCGCTTTCCAAGTTGTTAAAAGTTGCAGCAACATTCGCATGCCGCTGTCAACAAGCTGCGGAAAAGTGTCAAGGACCTCTTTCGCCAAAAATTGTGTAAATCCCCAGAGAACATCCTGGCGCCAATCAGGAAATTCCATTACCAGGAGTTGAAGACTCTGATATGCAAGCATACGCATTTCCTCATCAATGTGTACAGTTAGGCGAGACAGCAAATCCACCAATTCAGCGCCGGTCATCCCATCCGGAATTAATCTAGGTACAGCGGCAACACAAGTGCGAAACAAATCAATTCGCGGCTTCCTTTCGCCAGTTATCATCTCGTCAGGCTCTTTATTGACATTCTGGACGCTAGTCATCATCAGCGGACGACCATACTGTGAATCCAGCGCACGTAAAATATCCACAAAAACTCGTCGTACATGAATAAAGTATGAACTCATACCGATACTTTTTGCCATGTCGTCTGTAAGTGTCTTATTGAGAAAAATCTTTCTAACACGCAGTGTATTGCCACTAGGCAGCACCCCCATTGCTCTAGGCATGGGGGGTTCTCCCTCCTTCTGCTGTAAACTATCGGCAACAACAAGAAAGGCTCTTAGTCCAATATTCATTCTCTCGGGAGTGAGAATGATTTTTATAGGGCGTCCCACAGAGAGCAAATCGAATACAATCTCACGCATCGCAAAATCTAAGCGCTCCTGGGCAATAAACTGGATAATCTTCACGAAAATATGTAATGGGGTGTCACGTGGCACGACACCTTTCGAACCCTTGGGGAATAGAGAATTCACAATGCTTTGGAGGCGCGAATGAGTCGCAGAGTTGCTCTCGCATTTTATGCGAATCATATACACCCACAGCAAACGATAGAGAGATTCTAAAGCGACACGACACATCTTGGAATCTCGATTTTTCAAATGTGATAAACACATGGCGAGGAAGTAGTGCCAATTTTGCAGGAAAAAGGCTTTCTGGCTGACACATAGTAGGCAAGTTATGAGAGGAAACAAAGCCAATCTGTGTTTTGACTTCGTACTTGCGTCCAACGTCTGTGAATAGAGCATCTCCACGAAGTTTTTCAGGCAGGGAACATTTACTTCATTTTTCACAGTCTATGGCACGAATCAAAATGGTAAATAAAACTAAACACATAAAAATTAGTTACTTACAGCAGCCACGGGAACCAATATCTCCACGAACAAACCAGCAAGCGCATGTTTGATGTCCTTATCCTTGACGTCCAGAAAATACTGAGCGCACTCCTGCATGAATTGAAAAGAAGCTTCAAACTCTTCAATTGGTACCATTTTGACGCGAAAGAACTTCATACCCATTAGCAAGCTAATAATACTTTGTGTTATTTGGGGACTAGGGTCACGAGATCGTAATTCCTTCAATTCTGACATAAATCGTGTGCGTACTGACATAAATCTCGACTGTGCCAGAGCACCGATAACTTCTGCATATAAATCGGCAATTATATGAATGTTTGCTGCATTTGGCCCATTTGCAACCCTAAAAACATAAACTTTAAAATTGTATTTTTATACAAATAAAATAATCTACCCATCTCTGTATTTAAAATGTTTAAATGCAATCACTTCAATATACTGCACAAGATCTTCATGGCCAGGGTGAAAAGATAGCTGTCTAAGAACTTCAATAAGCACCAAACAGAAAATGAACTCCACAGCCAAGTCTCTTCTCTCCTGCTGAATTTCTTCCTCACTTCTTTCAACTACCTCCTGTGTATTGCCTGACACTATATTTATAATACTAAAAATAAAATTACATTTAGCAAGTTTGTAGATATATAATTTAATCCAAACCTTTTTCCCTTTTCAACTTTCTTTTGTTCAGAATTGCATACTTCACTCAACTGCCTCTCATACCATGCAAACAAAGCCTTCAAAAGAGAAGGCAGGCAATGTTCAGCCACAGAGCCAAATGCACTAAGTAGCTGATCAAACTGTGCATCTTCCCCTCTCTGCAAAACCTTCAACAGTTGCTTGTCTTGCTGGTCAAACATCACTGACTCTATTTTACGTTCTGATTGCAATGTGAAGTCAGCAAAGAGCGTCCGCATAACAAATTCTCCAGGCCGAATATCCATATCAATGCTGGGACCTGCACTGGGATGTGTGGAACGATCCTTTGTGGCACCCCAAGGCAGAAGAGTACCTTTGAAGGAATTATGCATTGATGTTGTGGTTAAATTATTCTGTCTAACATCAGGCTCTGTAAAAGTACATAGCTTCATTTTAAATTGCCAGTTTTTAGTATATAAATATGTAGCTATACTTACCTAAGGAGTTTGAATTAACAATGGTTGAAGCCTCACTCAACAGCACTCGAGGGGCAGACAACCATCCTTCATCAACATTGCTACACAATGAAGTATGCCCACTATGTGCCTCCGATCCAGACACATTGCTATTTGAAGACTCTACATCAGAATCCTGTCCAAAAGCAGGCTCTGCAAATGACATTGTACTTAATAGCCAGAGAGACCAACTTAATCATGATTATCAAACAGGGGCCAGTTAATAATCAAATGTCATTTTCATAAATAATGATATAATAGATTCTCTTAACAATACACAGAACACTAACCTGTGTTTTCTTGGGATGTTGTGTTTTCAGACGAATAATCAGCCATGATTTTACTGATGCATATTTTTCAAGAAATGCAAAATACAAAACTCTCTTGTTGATACGTTGAATATAGCCCGCATGTGAACAGGAACAGTGACTGACGAGTTTTGCAAATGATTAATTCTCACTGCACACAGAAGAGACTTAATTCACATCTTTTAGAAGCTCAAAAACATTGGCGAGGCATATACCTCAAAATGTTCTATAGATTTCTTGTCGAAAACGATTATAATTGATTTAATTACGCACAATTTGTCGCCTTCATTTGGTTTGTACATACATGAATTTTGACTTCAATACACTATGTACATGTACATACACATAAATAGGCAATTGTAACACATAACATTGATCGACGCACCTTGAGCAAGTCAGTCATTTCAACAGATTGCAGATTATGCACCAAGCTATACACAGATGCAGTAATGCATATACTAAGTTCGGCCCATGGATTAAGTCTAATAGATCGACAGCTCTCACCAGGTGTCAAACGCTAGAGGGCGTCGTCGACGAAGGAAAAATTCAAATTCTTTTTATTATTATTGTTCACAGGCAAGGTATTAATAATAATAATGCTTTTCAATAATCGTCAATTTATTTTACATAATTTGAACTTCCTATTTATACGAAATTTCTGTTTTGTTTTTATTTTATTGTTCTGTTTATTGGGTGTCCGGGAAAGTTATATTTACGCATTAATAGTTTTGAATTTATTTATCGGACATGATTTTAATTTTGATCGATGTTTTACAGAAGAAATAAACCACATGTAACATTCATACGCCGTCTAGCTGACGTTGGGCCCGACAACCATCAATACACAGGTACCTGCTCAATTTTATCAAATGAAATCAAAATCACAAAATGAACGTAAAGGTGGGAATTCATTGTATATGTTTGCCGTAATAAATGTAATAAAATACAATTGAGTCAATATTTAATTTAATGCTATTTAGTTTACATCACATTCAAATTTAATCTTCTGGTTCAACATAACGCTTTTGATTACCAAGCATAATATTCAATTCCAAAGAATTTTTAAAAAACGATTCAAGCAAAATAGCTCCAAAATTTTTGTGAACTTCATACCTACTATTAGTCCATGGAAGAACTGAATTAGGTTTATCAGCCAGTTTCCTTATGTCATTTATTCCACATGTAAATCTCCTTGTATGGAAAGGTAATACATTATAGTACACAAATACATATTTTTCATCCTTGCAGTTGTAAATTCGCAAGGGCATCTTCTTAATGAAATACTGCATCATCACACTCAACAGTAGAATAGCAGTGATATAAACTATTAGTTCATTGTTAACTGAAGCAGGTTGCTCTTTCCATCCAGAAAAATGAGGCTCATAGTCTTTCATTGATATTTCATAGTAAAAAACAGTTACTCCAACAATTGCTGCACTCAAAACTGAGACTATTTGAGCTCCCAGAAGATAATTACTCATTGTGTTTCTATAGATCAAATTGAAATGATCTGGTATGTTGTCCTTTGCTTTCAGTTTTGCTTCATGAATTGTGAACTTGGGAAACATTGATTTCAATCGAATTTGTGAACGGAACTTGGTAAAATAGTTTGAACCAAGGTTTAATGGTGTATTGCTGGGCTTCGTCACTATGGGTATTCGTAAACAAGCTGATCGTAGTGAGATTAATTTAGTTATCAAAGCCATTTTAAATTTTTTCCCGTATACTGTTATACCCAGTATTACTCGCCTTTTTTAGGTTAGATATAAATTAAACGCAGCGCAGTAACCCAGAAACCCGGTAAGTCTGAGTTGAAGTGTGCTTTATACGCACATTTACCGGAGCAGAAGGCACTGTTTTGGAAAAATTAAATTGAAGATGGGCGATGTACACATTTACCACTAAATTAGCACCGGTCAAAGAGTGTTTAAATTCTCTGACGAAACATTTCAAAGTTTCGGTCGGCAACTAAACGCAATACATACACGAACATTTCAATCCTGGCAGTCCTTTCTTTTCGTTGAGGGGTTGTAAGTTGAACTTACTTCTTCGCCTACATATTCAATTCTGTCGACATAAAATGGCTAACTGACTTGAAAAAATCACTGCACATTAAACTTATAGAGTACCAATGTTCCAGTACTCTTTGTATATAATAAACTTTTTATTAGTATGATTTGATATAATAATTTTTGAATGCAATGCTAAAAACTTCCCAGTAAAATAATTATCTTAAAGAGTAATTCATTTTACAGCCCATCCGGTTTTATATTTAAATTATCGCTTGTTTGTGAATCCAAGCCAAAATAAAAAAATTCCAGATAGGTCAATAGTATTCGAATTTTACAATTCCATATTCATTTTGTTAAGATTGATGGAGTCAGATTTAGTGTTTATATATTTATTATGTCTTCGTAATTCTCAATTTTCTTATATGATAAAAACTATTAAATCTTCGACTTCACATATAACAATATGTAATAAACAATTCCTAACCACTGCAATGGTATTTATTTACCTCACAAATTCTGCACTTATTGCGAAAGATTAACATTAGACAACTTTCAAAAATATTATCTCAAACATATTCAGCTTGAAAGAATGTATAAAAATATTCCGTTTTCAAATTTGCACTACCTACAGACTAGTTGATTGTGCTTAAAATGGTGCATGCAGACGAATGATATGTTATTTAAATCGATATCAGATTCACTTTCTAATTTCATTTTTTTCATAGATAAGGAAACTATGCATTTAATTTGACGTAGTGTTTTCCGACAACGGGTTATAAAAAATATTATATGTATCACATGTTATTTGAAGTTAAACATGCAGCTTTACGTAATGCTCACTTTAAAAGCTTAGGAACTGTACGGAATTGGAAATCCAAAACATCTCGGTTATTGTCAGTTGACGATGTGATTAAAATTCTCCTAGGTCAGAAAACAAAACAATCATAACAATATTGAGCAGATATCAGTACTCAAGTACTTACCAATTGATTTTTTATACTGATATGAATCAAGAGTGATGCCAATTCTAAATCTTCGCTATAGTTGTTTTTCAACCAAACGCTTCTATAGCCCGTACGCAGACATGTCACTGGATAAGTAGCCTGCCCTATAAAATTCGGATCGCCGAAAACGTCCTCGTCTTGAACGGTAAACCTTAATAATGCAAAAGAGGGATTCGCCACATCAAACTCGCAGATTTCATTCCACCGTGGGTTAAATCCATTATCGGCTACATGTGTTGAAAAGAAAAATTACATAAATATTTTATTTCACTAAATAAATCGTTTCTGAAAACTTACCAATTGTTTTGGTACATAGTTTTTGCCCCGCATCAAAGTCAGCGCCGTAAATTTCAATCTCAACAAAAGGACTGGCAGTTCCTTTTTTTAACCGCTGCAGATGACGCGCCGCAATTATTCGTATTGAAATCGTCAGTGGATCAACACCCACCAATGTATTTTTATCGTATGGATCAAAATCATCGCGGAACATAAACGCTGGTTTTAACAAGTACCCAGCCCTGCCATTGTCGCGAAATTTGGCTTGATTCAACTGCATCGGCTTGTCACCGGTCTGATAATTCAATGCAACCATCTGTGAGCCGGAGTTCCAAATATTAATTGGATTGTAGTTCGATGAATCAATACGTTGCCCTTTAGGATAGACCCGCGAAAATTGCACCTGATGATACCTCAGGAAGAACTTGTTCTCTTGCTGACAGATCAACTTCTCCGCTTTATTCTCGGGAAAGGAAGACATTTCGTAGAAAAGGAACTGATGTTTCGCTCGATCCAAATTGAAAGTGATAGACCGACAATAAATAATCAAGTCAGACATCTCTTTGGCGATGCGAAAAGCCCGTTCCATTTCGCGTGCCTGTGACTCCAGCACGCACGCTTTAGCTGCGGAATCACGGATTGTCGACAACCACTCAAGAGCCTCATCCTTCGATTGAACGGCGACCTCAAGTGGCGAACAGGACGTTATAGTGCTTATTTTTAATGTCCATTCTAGGCTTTGTCGCTCCGAGTGGTGGATGATTTCAACAACCGCACCATTTACATCTAATTGGCCTTGTGGAACTGATTCACTAGTCTGAATCGAAATAGAATTTAAAAAAAATTGAACTTAAAAAAAATTCTCACTTACGCTCTCATCCCCTGCGTCGTCAGGATCAATGCGTTGAATCTCAACGACATAAATTGCAGGAAAGTAATGCTGTTTCTTACCGCCGTAATCACCTCGCCACCAACCGTCAGATCCTTCAGGTTTAACAACATTGGTGATGATCGAATGTTTGCAAAATGATAGCTCATCGGATTGTTGCGCTTTGTAATCAAACTTTGCTTTTACAGTTATCTGCACAAATATAAAGTCGTCACAAAAAACATGTTCCGCGCGGACACACTGCACCCCTAAGCATATTTTATTACATGCACGGAAAGCTCAACGTGAGATTTGTTGGATTTGTGCTCTTGAGTGATCACTAATTAGATTTGGTGCACTCATAAGCAGCACAAATACAAGCATATATATATAAATGCATAAAAATTTAAAAAATGTTTTTTACCTTTGGATTCGAAAAAGAACTTGGATCCATATACGAAGGTGTAGCGTTGTATGGACTAGATTCTTCATGCTATGTAAGAAATATTTGGACATATTTAAATACAAGAAATATAAAAAATATATATATAAAGGCCGAGTTTATGACCCCATTATTCATGCTCACATGGAGGCATGTCGCTTGACGCCCGAAACATACATTGTATTAGTAAAAGAAGCCGAAAGAAGAGTATTGAAAATTCACCCATGAGATAAACGTATTATCGCAAAATGAACTTTAAAAACTAATGCTTCAAGTCCAACTTTAAACGAAGTTACCAATGCTATTACGGTGGCGTAAGATAAGAAAGAAATATATCAGAATGTGATTACGCGCCGTCACACCACAAAAAATAAATACAATAAAACATATAAGTTGAAGACATTTCGTTAAGTCGCTTGTTACGAAGCCAGTTTTCCTGGTTGCGCCGCGCCAAGGTAAGAGGCACATGAGTCAAGGTAACTTATTATTCACCCTTTGTGAGAGGGGCCAGCACTCTGCCCGCAGAGATTGGAACAGATAAACCGTGCTTTCACGGTCTCATTGTACACGCCGCGGACCCGCGATGTTCAGGGCCGATGCCGGCTGGTGATGGGAGTACCGTGTGGGAGAATTCCAAGGGTTAAAAAACTAACAAACTAGTCGAAGTACATGCGAGGGGAGTCACAGCGAGTGGTTTTTAAATCTATTGTATATATCGACGTCGCGTTTAGCTTACATGTCGGGTGAAACAGGTTTCACTATTTAGTACTAAACTCAATGCCAAACAACCAACAAGTCCGCTGTGAAAAAACAAACGCAGTGCGCGCCGTACTCACAATGCGCATAAAGCAATTTCTTTTGGTAAGCTTAAATAAATTATAAATTGACTTATAACAAGTTCATTTTCGCCAAACATTAGTAATTAATACTTTTTATTGTCAAATTTCATTAATAGCTATGCGCATTTTATCAATGTGTTATTGCATCTGCAACCACAGAAAAAAGTGAAAAGTTTGATGCTGATTATATCAACGAAAATTTGGAGACACCGAGAAAATTAATTAATGATTTGATTTTACAACAAACCGATGCTATAAAGAAAATTGTATTAGAGCAGCAAATACCTCTAGGAACACAAGTCAAGTATCCTACAAACACGAAGCATGATGCTGATATTAAATATAGCAACAATAACGATGTTAGTAAAACGAAAGGAACCATTGAAACGGAATCAATCTATGAGCTTAAAAAACAATGCCAACACTTAAGTAGAATTTTTGATTCGGTCATATCAATGCAACCGCAAAAGTTAGATTCAACATTAGAAAGAACAAAAACAGTAGAGGCAATCGGCGCGTATAATCAACCAGATTTGTTGAAGTTCAAGCCAAAATTCTCATCACCTCCGCCAATGTACATGCCGCAACCACAGCAAATGCCTGGGAACTATTTCATCTTCACGCAAACCCCGGAAATGTACGTACCAAGAATCAACAAGTATTCAGATAAAATGGACGAGGCGGCAAGTAATACAGAAGAAGATGTGATTGCGCCAAGTGACGAAATAGAATATGAAGATGAGGAAGACAGTTTTACGACCACAACCACACAATCGCCAGAATTACCTGACTCGGACCCAACCATGAGTAGCATATCTAGCACTTCCAGTACTACAACTGAACCAATTCCGATAATGCCTATATTCAAATATGTTCCCCTTGAACCAATAGTCCAAAAGAAGGTCCTTCTGCCATCCGGCAAAAACAGTATTTACTGGTATCGTCTACTCCCAAAAACGCAAAGTTTCGTCCAAATCCCAGATACTCCTGAGACAGAGAACGTGAAAGTAGTGGCGCAGCCACAAAGCTTTAACGAAGGCACATCCCTTCCTGCACAATATCATTTCTACATTGATCCGCAAACTGGTGTAATTAAAGCAAACACGGCCGCAAAACAAACTGTGCAACCGCAGTTTTTTATCAATCCACAAACTGGTATGATCTATCAAAGTGCATTACCACATCAATTCATATATCATAAACGCGTCACGTCGCATCAACAGTACTCAAGAACAACCACGACGGAAAAAAATATGCTGCCTACCTACACCATCGATATACCGCAGCCTGAGGAGGAACACGTCGAGTTCAAGAAATCGAACAAGCACGAGTTTCGTTTCGTGATACCCATGGCGGTATCGGGTACGCGGGCCCAGGTCTCTAATTATCCCTACCAATTCGATCCACTAGCCTATTTGCCCAAGGACCAGCGGCCGGCGACAATGAATATACCAGTACCTTACGTGCCCAATTATCAGATGATCCGCACTCTCTCGATTCCGAGCGAGATACCAAAACTCGCCGCAGAGAGAGGATCTTAGTTTAAGAAATATAAGCCGGGAAAATACACGTAAGTCTTTATACCCATGATTAGATAGACTTTGAAAAATCAGAGATAATTTATACATTAAGTGCACTGCAGTAGTCAATCAAAGACTGATTAATGATTAAAACTTAATATTATATGAAGAAATTGATAGCATATTATAAGAAATTTAATCTCGGCGTGTGTCGCGATAGCAATTGTTTTATTCTTAGCTTTAAATCACGAGCTTAAAAGGTCCAAATCTAAAGGTATTGTGACTAATTCTTTGCTAAAGCGTACTTATAAATACGAGTGTATAGTCTGCACTAACTTAGGAAGTCCTAGACCCAGTTAATGAGCATTCTCCACGAATATCACAATGTAAATATTTGTCACCTGTGTCTTCCGATATTTACTAGCACTACGCAATTAGCTTTGACTGTAACTCTAGAGCACAATATTTCTCAGGGATCACTTTAGAAATATTTAGGTAAATCTATGACTCACGCAGAATGACGTTAAATAGATGCGGCTATAGGTCGGTTTTGTGCAATCAATACGTAAAGTGCATTGCAGTGATGTAACACGCACACTGACTAGTGCTTTAGCAAATAAAAATTTTGTTATAAATAAATTATAATAAAGTAACAGGTATGTAAAAGATTGACTTACCATTCCCATCCTTCTAATGGCATCCTCGTTGATTGCATACATCAATTTCACCTTCCTGTAGAGCGGATTGTGTTCATAATAGTTGATCAACTCTACCAAACTTTCAAACTCCACGCTACCTATCGTATACAGCCGCCCCTCGCGTTTAATGCGACAGTGCTTAATTTTCTTGTCGGCGCGGAAACTGATCGTGTACGAGTTGGCATCGTTCTCGCTCTGTCTGACTAGGAAGGCACCTTCGTTCCGCTCGCACTTGAGCGCTTCTTCGGCCTGTAGGCGCGTTGTGTGCTGATGATACCAATCCTTGCCTTCGTGTTTCTTCGGTTGTGGCACTGGCTCGCTGAGAGTGATTGAAAATTCGTGCGTAACCAGCGGATGAGACCGATAGTGCGTGATCAGGCTGTATAAGCTGTCAAAGAACTTCGAGTCGGTGAGATAGTACTTAGTCTGCTGTTTGTCCTGTTTGGAGCGAATGCGGCAGTGGTTTACTAGGCCATTACGCCAGAAGGATAGGCAGTATTCACCAACAAAGGTGACACTCGCACGCACTAGGAACGTTCCATCGCCTAGATTCGAATACGTTTTGAGCAGTTGTTCGGCTTCATCACGACCGTTTGGTAATCTGCCATGGAACCATTTCTCTGCAAAGTGTAGTTCCTCATTTGGAATATCGTTCTTTTTATAATGTAACACAGGTCCCTCATCTTCATCCTCTGAACGTTCATTTTCGGCGTCCTGTTTGTACTTATCGATATAGAAGAGTTTACTTGGTGTAAGAACAAAAAAATGCGGATTCCATTCTTTATCAACGGGATCTTCCAGATACATGATACCGTTTTTGACAGAATTTCTCAAATCTAAGTCGTTCACTTCGTTCGTGACTAGAGTAGCCTCCTCCTGCCCCTCTGGCAGTTTTTTGTGCTTAAGAATAATACGCCGCCGAAGCTGGTGTGGTGATGGAAGTTGTTTCTCGTTTTTTTCCACCGGATGTATAAGAAGCATGTCGCCAAAGACTTCCTGCATTGCGGTGGCCATTTTACGCTGTTGTGGCAACGAGCAGTTGTCCTCAATTGACAGAATAACGGGATATTCCGATGTAACGAAAGCATGTTCCTTTATTGTACGTATTACGTCCATAAACTTAATACGTGTCGTCAACGTGTGGCCGTGATAGATGAATGGCATGCCGTCAGGCCCATCCCAGCAGTCTAGTTCAATACAACGACATCCCATTCGTAAACACCGTACATACGCCTCGACGCTGGACTCGCTCGAGAATTGATCGCCTGTTAAATACGTATTATGCGATGAGGCGATCCAATAATGCGACATTGGTTTGGTCATATCTTGATAGACCGTGTCTTTTTTTGTATCCCACAGGTCGTTCTGCTTTGAAAATAAAAAATCAACAAATTCTGTGACCAGAAAGTATGGTTCAGCGCAGTCACGTTGGGGATCCTTGAGAAAATCACGGATAAGTGCAGAAACTCGTTGAGGATCATTGGCGCTGCTTTCTTTCTGTTCGACGAGCAAGAACGTCTGAAATTCTTTCAACGTCACTTGGTTAGCAGTATTTACGCTAAACGCAATATCGGGTAATACCTGAAAATGCATAAGAGTTAATTGCAAGTCTTGGATTGCTGATATGCTTTGAGTACTCACTTTTTCGTTATACATTAATTTGTGGTAAAGTGTGGAAAAGTCGTCAAAGCCGATCTCATTTCGTTTACGTGTATCCACTTCGTTAAAATACTCGCGCAGCTTACTGGTCGGTATCTTGCAATTGAGTCGCGGAAAAAATGATTTAATCTCTTTGAGCGAGACAGATTCCCGTGGGTTTTCCATTGCGTAGAACTCGGTGCGTAATTTTATTTGCACTTGCGTAGGATACGACTGCCTACGGGAATCCTGCATTAAATAACGTAGGCCTTTTGTCCATAGTTCACATTCTTTTTCAGACAAAGCTGCAACAAGAATACAATTCCTTAGCGATATCACTATATTATTAATTATCTGTTTTGAAAGTACATTACATAATGTAGTTGATTTATATTATTTTATAGGACTGTTGTCCATTATTAGATTAGGGATTTTAAACACAAATGTTAGAAATCACAAAACAACAAGTTTTTAAGAATAATTAGGTATGAAATTTGAAATTGCTATTGGAAATTGAATATCAAATCTTATATAAATAAATTAACTTTAAGTCCAAGTATGAAATGGCAACATATATATTTAATATGATAGATACATCCTAATTTTATAAATAAATTAATTCCTGTTTTGTTTCAAAAGCATACATGTTTATTATTTAAAACTGTAATTTTAAACCAATAATCATACAACATATTCTTACATGTGTATAACATATTGTTCATATTGTACTTACCAGCAATACTAAGTGCCCTTAATTTAAACTCAGATCCATAATATACAACAAAACATCGTAAATGTTCCATCTTTTTGGCTTCTTCCGGCCATTTCTCAAAATCTTTTGACTGTTTACCAAATCTAACTTCTTTTATTTCTCTTATATCAACAGCTCCATCATATACAGGCTTCGTTCCACTGGAGGGTCTACACCATACCACTTGATTGGTCTCCCTCCGAATACTCATGGACTTGCTCTCCACTTTTTTTCGCCATGAAAATTTTGTTACCAATGTGCTTCTTTCTAATTGACTGATGATCTGTTCCATCTCAGGAATGTAGCCAGTTGCTGCACTAACAAATGGCCCATTTTGTAAGCTCAACATGATGAGTTCCTGGAAAACCAAGCTACATAAGTATTCTTTTCAAACTTATAGAAGCAATAATGAACCCAGAATTCAGAAAAGTATTTGCAAATGAATTTGCAAAGAGTGAGACAATTCATTGTTAGTGTGCATGCAATGAAAAAATGTGCAGGCTTTAGTGAATGAAGAGTGCCCCAAAATATAACAATTACGTTAATTACCTTGAGGGGATTCGCGGCCGTTCACTAATATGTACATTCGCTCACTACTTCCGATTGTCCATTATTCAAATAGCACCTATGAACATCAGCATAGCCCACATCGGTATTGATACCACGTTTCACACAGCACACAAGCAGAAGTGACAAATGTTGGCAGGATGCATATGTGAGAAGTGAGAACCAAGAACGACCGACAAAGAAATTTATTTATGTAAATGAAAATCGCAAGAGGTTGAAACTATTATCGTGGTAGAAGATTGTTTTATTTCCCTTTCGTCTACCATTAACATGACGTCAATAAGCGGCGTAAAAGGAACCTCACAGCACAATTGTCATTACTACACTAATAAAATGCCTTCCATGCAGTTTCATTACTGGCCATAGAATCACTGATTATACACTACTACTGCATGGAATCCACTGTCGATGCTCAAGGTAGACTTCACAACGAACACGTTCGCAAGAAATGGAAGTTTCTCACGATTTGAACGTCGACTGTTTTTCATTTTTCTATTTCAAGTTTTTGTTTTCGTTCTGATTTTTGTTTTAATAAGTAGGATTTGTTTGATAGGGAGCGTTTTTAGTTGGTTTTCCTCATATACATCAATAAAAAATAAGCCTTCAAGTTGCTTCAAGTGCGAAGCAAATGATAACTAATATGACAAATTTGTATGAGAAATTGTATGTTTACCCGTTTCTGCCATCGAAAACAAGAATATATTAATCGCCAGACACAATCTTTAAAATTATGTGTACTGAGCGATCAGTCCATGATTTAGTGCAGTCTCTATTTTTGGTTCATGTTAATGCAGTTGGTGCAGATGAATAATTTTAATTGCGAGTAACTGATAAACGTCAAGCAATTTTTCTCTCAATCCACCGAACCGACATTCGTCGGCAGAAACAAGTAAGTGTTTATCTCCAAAACCTCGTAAAACTAAACTTAGAAATTTGGTGGAACAATACATCCGGCCAAGCTCTAGCGCAGTTTCTATTTTTGGTGCGATTTAATTCAATAGATTTTAAATGAAATGCTCAAGTCTGTTTTCAATTAAACTGGAATATCTATGAAAGTCATAGTCACATTATTGGTATATATATTTATACTGTTTTAAAAAGAAGTTAATTTTTTATGGTATGCGTATAGTAGTTTTTGAATAATTTCATTAGGAATGCAAAACAAATAATTGTTTTTTGAGTGACGCTGCTGTGCTTCGAAAGCAGCTCTTAAATTATTTGTATTATTAAGTACGCCCCTGGTAACCATGCAAGGTATTGGAGTAGTGGGAGTATGCACCCCCTGTAAACTGGCAACGCCGCCAAATGCTTTCAAATCACATGTGGCAGAAATAGCTGATGCAATCGTTTCATCGGTAAATTATCGGTGGTAGTACACCGCCAATACAGCATAAACTTACGTCGAACGCACATCGATTCTTTTTCGACCTCGTGAATCAATTCATAAGCCACAATGACTGAAGAAGACGCGGTAAGTGTACCAGAAATTAATTTCAACACAATTAGGTTATCGTCATCAATGATTTACATATACTTTGAATATCGACCATCAGTGAGGCACCTGCAATACATTATTGCTTTTGTAGATTTTCGATCCCTCTCTCAAAAAGAAGAAGAAGAAGAAGAAGACCGCTTTTGACATCGACGCCGCACTCGCAGCTGAGGGTGTTGATGCAGACACCAATGCACCTAGTGCAAATGATGTTGACATTAATGAGGAGGACTTTGACTTGGGCAAGAAGAAGAAGAAGAAGGTCTTTAACTTAGATGACTTGGAGGGTTCTCTTCCAGAGAAGGATGGTGGTGGTCAGGATGATGCAATTATTGATGATAATCTTGACTTGGAATTGGACTTCAGCAAGGCAAAAAAGAAAAAGCAGAAGAAGAAAGATCTACATGAACTTATGGCTGAAGTAGATAAGAAACAAGAAGATAAAGAAAATGGTAAGTGTTATTGTATTTTCGTATTTACTTAAAAGTCTAGGATCTTATCCTCATGATTCTAATAACAATAATTTATTAATGAACTAACAATGTTCTTGTTAAATGCTGCATGAAGTTGAAAAACAACTTGAAGATGGTATGTTGTCAAGTATTTTTATAAAATTGAATCCTTATTTAAATCTTCACCTAATTTAATTTGGATTATTTTTAGTTGATGAAAATTCAATGAATTGGAATAGTACCGATCGTGATTACACATACGAAGAGTTATTAAATCGTGTTTTCGAAATAATGCGCGATAAGAATCCAGATATGGTCGCCGGCAAAAAACAGAAATTTGTCATGAAACCACCACAGGTTGTGCGCATCGGTACGAAAAAAACCTCATTCGCCAACTTCACCGAAATCTGCAAAACACTCCATAGGCAGCCGAAACATTTACTGGATTTTTTGTTAGCCGAGTTAGGTACGAGTGGATCTGTGGATGGTAACAACCAACTTATTATTAAAGGTCGCTTCCAGCAGAAGCAAATCGAAAATGTTTTGAGGAGGTAGGAAATTACGTTAAAATATTTAAATTATATGATTCCAATGATTCCATGATTTTCAGATATATTAAGGAGTATGTTACATGCCATACTTGCCGATCGCCTGATACTATTTTGCAAAAGGATACGCGATTGTTTTTCCTGCAATGCGAAACTTGTGGATCAAGGTGTTCGGTTGCTAGTATAAAATCAGGTTTCCAGGTATGCATTTTTATTGGTTTTCCTTGCCGCAGAACTTGTACTTACTGCAATATTGTATGTTTTCAGGCTGTCACCTCAAAACGCGCTGCAATACGTGCGAAAACTGCTTAATCACGAATTATCACACTTCAACCAGACCCAACGCACGCGTATGTATTTATTACAGTTGCGTAGCGGTAAAGCTGCGATGCTGATTTTTCTATCGTGGGTAGATTGTAAAAACAGATTTGTTTTGCTCATCCGATTCAATAAAATGTGGCGTATGATTCGAACAAAAACTCCGACTCATCATCCCGCTTAGTACATGAGCGCCAGAATAGCAGAAGTGTCCGGCGCTCGTCCAATCATTTCCAAAAACTTGAAGTACCATTTCATGAATGCCAGCCAAGACCTTTGCAAACTAAACAAAAACAAATTCATTGAGGTCGCGACTAAGACTTGCTACTTACAATAATTGATACTCGAACGAAATGCGTAACGGAATTGACCGTACTTTCATCCAGAAGGAATCTTCGTTTTTAAAAGCTGTTTTGGTCGCAATTCTCGCCAGAATTCTATATCTATTAACAGGGTTGCCATGATCGTGTGCGATGGCTCTCAGGGTGTTTAGATTTCTAATCACAAAAAGCAGACTCCGAGGCATTTCTTTCAACGTTTTCGTAATGATGTCTAAGCGATGTTGTGCGACTTCCGAAATATAATCGATATCAGTTTGAGTTAATCGTGTCACAAGTCTGAATTCTTTCTTCATAGGAGTTTGTGTTAGGACTTCTGCAAATTCGGCGTAGTTTTGAACGCCCAAAGCTTTTGAATATTTATCCATTTTGATTCTATCACGGATAACAATCGCTTGCCAAAAGTTACTTAAACCAATACGTTCATCTTCACTTAATTGCTGATATAGTCCATGATCAAGGAGGACAAGTTGTGTTTCATTATTAAATTTTCGTACAAATACTGTGGACAGGCAATAAAATTTACATTTATCTTTCACAAACACCAACTGTAGTTGTAGCAAAATTTACCATTGCCTGGGTGAGGATCGGCGTGGACAAAACCAATCTGAAAGATTTGTTCCCCAAAGGCTGTAAACATCTTCTTATCAATATCCGCCAAACTATGCCCTCTCTGTATTAATGCTTCGTTCTCGCTAATTTTAATGGCGTCGATAAATTCCGTAACCAACACCCGCTGTAATTGAAAACAAGTTTTACATTCGACAATATTCCTCTCCGGAACTTACTTTGGAGCATAGGTCCCAATAAACTTTCGGAATGTAGATGTAGCTTAAATGTGCCAAGTCACCGGCGCATTTTTCAGCATTCTGTCCTTCCTTTTTGAAGTCCAACTCGTTTCTTAGATTTTCTGTCAAGTCCTGCAAAATCCAGGTAAAGTCGAACGTAGGATGAAAATAAGCGGCAAGACGCAAGAGAAATTCAATTGTCGACACGTCATTGGAAAATCGTTCTTGCAGATCTTTGTATTGCACCTTGACAGCGACTTTCTCATCATTTTTCGTGGTAGCTACAAATACCTAAATTTATTTATCATTGTTTCATGGCATTCAAAGCTCCAAAAACTTAAATTCACAAACTTGGAGTTTACCTGCGCTAAGCTGGCAGCTGCAATTGGTTCATGTTGAAAACTTTTGAACATATCATCCGGGGATTTGCCGAATTCGGCCATAAAAATCTGCTCAACCTCATCGCCTTTCCGTACCAGACATTTATCTTGCAGCCACTGTAGAGTCGTGATATATTCACGAGGTAAAATGTGACTTAGACTAACCAACCCTTGTCCGATTTTAATGTACGTCCCACCGTTGATCATACACCCGTGAAGGATGCGGTTGGCGTTGCGTGAGTGCACTATACTCATACATTTTTCATAGTCCTCGGATTCGGGATTAAGGATGCGTTGATTCAACCAATAGTCGATTGATATTGTAAGGCCAATCCGTAGTGAACTGAAAACATTAAATTATAAATCAACATTACACCTATAATATAGTTTTAATTTTATTCATGTCATCACTTAATTCAGGTTCTTCAATTTTTGGATTGAATACTAAATTATTATCATGAATATAAGTTTCGCCTAAGTTATATTATCAACTTTACCCTCACCCCTGTACATTAAATCAACTGTACAGTTGATAATACAGCTAAGGCGAAACATGCTCCTCGAAAATAAAATCCAAAAATGAAAGAACGTTATATTTATTAGCATAAATCAGCAATTGTTTATATACCGAATGAAACGAAGGGCAGCTGCTGCGGCCGCCAAAGGACTGCTCTCTGTTTGTGCATGTTTATTAGAGGTGAACGTGGAATAAACGACAAGGGCGCCACCTGCTGCACAAGCAGTTGCTGCAGATTTGATTAAAATGTGGTTTTGTTTTGCAGCATTATAGTAAGAGCTGTGAATGATTTTCAACCAAAAAGATGACATCTTAAAAATCTGCAAATAAATAACAACATTCACTTATTAATAACCTCACATAAAAGCAAAGATGGCTGGAGATAAAGAATTTGTCTATCTACCTATATGTAATACACTATTATGGAGATCAAATAAGCCTTATCTCGAAGCATTCTGCTTTTGATTCGATTATATTATCATTATTTAGTACCAACTGTACGCGTGTAGCATTTCTTCAAAGTAAACAAACTCACTTGGTTTGAATGAGCATGGGTGAACTGGTCCACAATTTCCGTCAAATGCGTATGTACTAATGATACAGACCTATCGAGCCGCAGAGGCGAGTTGAGAACCACAGTCGAGAACCACGTACCGCAATGCTTTCAAGGTTCCATGTGCGCTACGCTCGGAATATGCCATAGCGCAACTCAGAGAGCATTAATAGGGCCCACCTAGCTTTCACGAACCGTCGAGGGGCGAGCGGGGCACATGCGGAAGGCGATAGTCGGAGGGGGAAAGCAAGGGTCGGAGGAAAACAGAAAACAGACCGTCTGTCAGTGTTCAGCTGACTGAATGCTGCACTCGATTCGTTTGTGTGACTCCGTGCAAACTTCGACCTGTACGCCCTCAACATCCAACAAGAAAACACTCCACGACACAAAAACGTAAGTGTGCGTTATTCTTCTACTCACCTAAGTCACACCATATCAATTTTGCGTCGGGTCAATTACGGAGTTTAAACGCCAAGTTTTTGATTACCAAATCAGCTGACTGTGTTAGTGGCCGGAAATTCAGCGATAACTGCCAAATAAGTTGCCAAATAAGAAAAATGATCAAATATTTCTGTAAAACAAATGTGGGATGTGAAGAAGCGTCGGTCCTAATACTCCAAGCCGAAAGTGGAATTTTAAATTAGCGTTTCTTTGTTCTATCCGGGGCTACAGGCCACTTCGGTTCGTTGCAAACACACCAACGAGCAGCGAGACGCATTCGACGGTCGCTAGTGCGCGATCAATGATGCAACCAGCGTGCGCGACAAAGAAACATATACTGTTTCGATGGTGGAGGATGCTGATATAGTGCGGTGCAAGCGAGACAGCTATTATTATACAGCCAGGCATTGCTTCTGCTTCGTGTACTCTGCTGCTCTCAAGGTGTGTGTGTGTGTGCGATGTGCGCGAGTATGAATTGAATGCAAGTCGCGTATAGACGAATATTTAAAAGGCCATACTCCCTACCCCTCCACTGCTTTTGTTCAGCAGCATCACAACAAGACTGTACCCTGTGAGACTTCATTCAATCAAATAAGAAGCAATAGTGAATATATGTATAATATAAGCCACCGAGTTGCATCGTTTGCCAAATAAATTCGAAGCGGAAATCGTGAGTTGCCATGGCGATTAGAGGGTAAAGGCTGGTTGAGGTTTGAGGTCCCTTTCCTGCCATTTCCTAGGTAGATAGGGCGGCGGTGAGGCCTGCGCGCGTCGCATGCCAACCCACCAGTCGTTAGCAACCAACTTGGTGGCGATGGATACGCGTTGGTGTAATCTTGGTATCGTTTGCTTATTAGCGAATCGACAAGCAAATAATATCAAGAGACAAATTAATGATTAGGCTTAATCAAATAAATACTACCAGAACACTAGCAGCAAGGATCACACGTCGTTGTCAGTTTGTAGTCACCAATTTTTTCATAGGTCAATCATTTGTTCACGATTGCAAAGTTTAGACCGTTTTGACCTCACTTGTACACTAAGGTTATGGCATAGACACATAGCAAGCACAGAAGGGATATTGAAAACTTGAAAAAATATTTTTATATTAAAAATTGAAGAAAAAAAGGATAAAAACACAAATGTTTAAAAATTTATATCTCGGAACCGGCCAGCCCAAATAATAATAATAATAATAATTTAGTTTTTATTTTAAAAATGCGCTTAGCAGTTGTATATTAATGTACTTTGGCGCCATCTAGTTTTGAATGATTCGTTATTTTTGAACCAAGTGCCTTTCAAGTTATATTTTTCCCCAAAAACTAGCCTGCTTGCATCACCTTGATTCAATGGTTCTTGTGAATACAGAATCTCCGCCTTGATTTTGCCCTCTGTTTGTGTTAAGATGATATGTGTTTGGAATAATAATGAAAATTTAATTTGAAATGAATGAAATAGGCGATTTTTTTTGTTTCTCTATACAAAACTACCCCCAAACATGACCACATATAGGTGGCTTATTTAGGCCAAGGCAAATGTTCGGTGATACAATGTAATCGTATTGTATGTTATTGGTATTATTAAAAAATGACACCTCCCAAACATGTCTAAAAAATTCGGCAACCCAATTCTACAGGTAGCTGCTTCGTAAGCTGCTTGCACCGAAAAAGAGCCAAATTTGACTCTGAATGCCAAGAGATGCAGGCAGACTATCAAGCGCCTGGTGCGATATAGGAGAACAGATACAATAAAGAGGATGTCGAGGCGAAATCATTGATTTTTCGCTTGCGTACTTTCTACATGCCGAACGCTGTCTTAATAGCTAGTGCCCTTGTTCACGGCAACGAACAAACAACTAACGAAGTTCATTTCCTGACAGTACCAATTGCTTTATCTTATTATGCTCCTGATATTGCCTATGATATTGTTACACCTGTCTTACGTAGCGTGGATCCAGTGTCCCTAAGTGGGATAGCGTATCCTTCATAATCTATATAAATAAATGCTGTGCATCTCTCGACCTTCTTATTTATTTCTACAATAAACGTTTAGAGGCGATATCGGAAAATAATTAAAAGATATTCAAACCACGACAACCGCGTAACAATTAACATGAAGAAGGGCAAATTTGAATTGCTAAACCATAATGTTGATAAAGACGTTCTCCAAACAAAATAATGTTTGTTAATCCAAATTCTCTAATGGTTTCGGTGTCTAGAATATTCACTATTAAAAAACTAGAGCCAATGTGCAAAATAATCATTATAAACTTGATGAGTTATCAGACTTACATATATACCACCTGTGACAATAGGACGAACGCCCTGACGCAATAATGAAAATTACTTCATGACGGAAATGATCAAAGTAGCGCCGCTACAATTGGGAGTAATATAGCAGCCCCCATTTTTGTGGTTCAATATCGATTTTCATCAAATAAATAAACGCACAACGCTATCCTTTAAATATTCATGGTTTGTTTGATTTTAAGGACGTTTGTGTCTGAAACTTGATTTTAGATAAAAATATATCTTTTTGAGTATTGCCGAGTTTAATCATGAATTTATGTTCCCACAAAAATTATATTTTTGGATATTATTAATGTATAACATAATTCGGTGATCGGGTGAATAGTTTTCGAGTTTTATACTTGTAGATAAGCTGTTTCAGTCAACATTGATACAGTATTTTATGATAAAAGTATTTTTGTCAAAACAGTTTAATTAAATTTCTATGCTATTTCATCCATTAGGGAAAGCGCTAATTTTCCTATGAAAAAAAGTTGTGAATGGGTCACTGTCCTTCAGCTGAACAAATCTCAAAGTGCAATTTTGGTACTGTGAAGTATGGGTAGAATATGTATCATATACATATCTATATCGATTGGTTCGTATTCAGTCTGACTGATAAAAAACAACCTGCTCACGCTGAATTCATTTAATACAATCATAATGTGTGTTGAATGTCAATTGCGACTCTTACTAGCACATTAATTCAATAAATCATAAAAAAAAAATTGCGGGGATTGCTATCATTTATTTTAAACGATATCATTACTTATAGTATGAATAACATTTCTACACAAAACTCATATATCGATAATTATGCTTATTTTATCGATTAAATTTGTCCCGGAAATACATATATATATAATGTAATATGTTGGACGAAATGGAAAAGTGAAATCAGGCAGCGTTTATTGATTTCGTACCCGTGCCTGCTAACCGCAAACCCCAGTGCATATTGCTGGACACTAGTGTAGTTAAATCCCTACGGAAGAGAGGAGGAAGTAACGTTATTTTCCACGACAGTACGTACGAGGTAAACTCCTTGGTGCTGGTAGCGAAGTAGGTCAAGGTTGATTCCATACTTAATTTAAATAGAAATCGGAGAAACTAATTGTTAATAAGCTTTATGTTTAAATTTAATGAACCAGACAGAAAAATGATGAATCAGTATCAACGCTTATCAAATTGTTCTCTTTAATCAAAATATTTTAAACATATATATACATAGATTAAAATGTTTAGACTAAATATACTCGTAATGTGAAAAATATGTTTAATATTTACTTTGTATTTACAAATATATTTTTGTTAACGCCAAAGTCCTTTGTGCCTACACATATAAATGCCAAATCGTTAGATACGCGAAACGCAGTTACATTTTGTATATAAACTTGGGAGATATATAAAGTCACGGTGGGCGTGCGTGTTTATCATGACTCGAGACTACTAAATTTGCCAATTGCGTCCTTGGTGAAATCGAGTGCGTCGCAAAACGGACGCATTTTTCGGTCGCAAATAATAAACCTCTCGTATTAAGCGGGAGAGGCGACCTATACAATGAAGTCTAGTATTGACACAGATGCGGAACATCTAAAGCGAATATAGCGCCTATATCTCTGAGTGTTTGAGTTTAGCAAAATTACTTGGACTCACGCTGCGCAACGGTCAGTTCTTTATCGCAAAATTAAAAAAAAAAGTGCGTAGTGAGCGAAAATGAACTTAATTTTTTTAAATCTAATTTTGATATACTCTCTCTAGTATTATTCATTGGTGACCCCAATTTTAATACGCCACATATAATGATACAGGTTAGGTATCCCTAATTTACAAAGCGCAATAGTGAATAATATCATTAGGCGGTAGAATAGTGTTATTATTTTCATAACGGAAAATGGCGAACATTTTTTGATTGCTTCGAGGAGTTTTCACTTTCCATTCAGACTTCGTATTTATGTTTACGTATACAATGACGTGATTAAGTTCGGCGCAATTGTTACATTTTATTATTGTACCGGCCACATCTTGTTTTCCTAAATTTGTTGTAACGTCGCATTTATTTCGTCATCGGAATTTCATCGTATGTTGCTTACAATGTCGTTTATTTGCTTAAACACGTCAATTGAATATAGTATAAATCGGGAACATTTTAAGTGATTATTAGTGTTAATTACTTCTTGCGAAAATTCTGAAACAGGCAATTTGATATTTTTCTGGAGTAAACCTAACTTTTTCAAATTTAGACAATACGTATTGCAACTTTTTTTGTAGTTCCTGGATATATATAAATTATAAAATATAATTATATTTGCTAAGGTTCATCAAACTTCAAACATAAACATAATTAAAAAAAATAAGTACAACCTTGCTAGCTGATACTACAAAATAAAGCCGACCCTGCCTAGTACCACCACTGCGCGAACATCCTGTATATGAATGCTGTATAAAAAAAATAGGCAGACAAAGTTCGTCCTGCGTAGTTAAGCGATTTGGACACTAATGCGGTTGGCGCACGTGTATAACACTCAGCGCAGAACACCAGAGTAGGACGTAAACAAACCAGTAAGACGTAGACTCACGCCACGCCGTACTTTAATTCTGCTCATTCCAGCTACCGCTCGTTTTTTTGTGCAATGATAATCAGCGCGAACGTTTCGCACCATTTCCTACGTAGATAAACACACCGCCTGATATCAGTTGTTTGTCTTGCTATACGAGTACAATTAGTCATGGAGCAACCCGTGTGTGATTGAACGAGTGTTTCGCGAGTGTCCTCACAGTAAACATTGTATCTCGGTCACGTTCTTTTGACAATTGTCTATATTAACTTGTGAACAGACCATTATAACAATAATGGGAAATTAGTGCTGGATGCATTTTGTCAGTTCATCATATCTGGATTTAGTTCTTTGTTACAACATATTTTACAACATTATAACACGGCACAGAGCTGCGCCGCAAAAAAAGAACCTGATTAGTTTATTGGTAAGTCTAAATTTAACGACACTTTTTATTTTTTATAATACTAAACATGAATCTGGAATTCATACGGATTGAACTAAATCAGATATACGCAGATAGACTAATGTTCCAGGTGACTCATGATGGTTCTTTATTCTTATGAAATTATAATGCACAATGATACGGCCAACATTGCTTTCAATTTTTTTAATCAATTTTGTGTTGGAATGATGCAAATTTTGGTGTTTTATAAAAATGTGTAAAAAAAAGTATTTACGACTAACGGAAATATTTAAACTTTTATGATGTTAATCGTGTTGTACTCGTATATGCTTGAGGAGTGTTTACAAACTCGTACCCTTCAATTAACCTATATCAATGTGGCACAAATATGTACATTGAGCATTAGTTTTAAAAGTATCCATAGTAATGTGTAGCATGCTTTGCGCATTTTGTATTTTCAACTGCAAGACGTTATCACGGAATTATTTGATTAGAGGACTTGTTAATACGTTAAAAAACAAAATTAAAAACATGAAAATTATTTCTTGTTTTGCTTAAAAGTGTGTGTGTGTGAGAGAGAGGGAGAGAGAGTTAATTTATCGTCAACGTAATGAGCTTGCTACTGCTACAATGATGGCGTACCATTTGTTTTGTAACGTTTGTTTACACTCACTCAGATATTTCGCATCGCCAATGACGCAGCTGTTTTTTTACGCACTTGAAATAGAGATGTTCCCGTCACGCGACGAAAGTAGAACTGAAACATTTATCGGTTGATTAGCAATTTATACGTAAAACTTGGTTCCTCAAGTGTCTTTACAGTTGCACTTATCAGCGAATTCGGATTAGCAACCAGTCTAAATTAGCAAAACGCAGCATCGGGCGGATCATGTTTGGTCACGTGTATTTGCATCGTGGTCATTGTTAACATGATGTGCCTCACTATCAATACCATTGCACTGACAATTGTTCGTAGGTATTAAATATTTACACCGTTATGCGTTGTTAAACGCATGAAATTACACTTTCTTACTGTATTCCTTTTTTACATTATTCTTTACCTACATATCGAAATTTGTTTATGATTTATTCTTTAATCAGGTTTAAAGCTTCTCAAATTACTGAAGATATTAAGCTACCACACTTACTGACTTTATGATTTCGACATAAATGCGCCTTGATGAGCTATCTTCATTTTTTGCAAACGTGGTATAGCAGCCAATTGCAGCCAGCTTCCACAAAACGCTGGAAATAAGTTTATTTCTATAGCACTAATGCCTTCAACTTAGCTGCCTGTCGACAATAAGAATAGGAAAAAATAAAATTCATGGAAACGTAGCACGATTGCACTTATAGTTACACAAACCGTGAACGGTCATTAACTAGTTTTTGTTCCTCACCAATGACTTAACCTTTAAGCGCGCGTATCGTTTCCTTATGCGGTTTCCACTTGGCGGGCATAAAACAGAACGCCACGTCGAACAAATGGAAGAGGAATTGTATGTACCTAAATAAGTGAATATTAGTGCCATCCCAACTTAAATTACGCCAATGAACTGAATCTCTACAACAACATAGTGGTGTTTACGGGAAAGCTTTAAAAATAAAATTAAAAAAAACTTATTAAGTATAAAGTGGCTAAAGTTTTTACACCCGAGATTGAACAAGAGCGAGCGTAGCGATCAGTTAATAATTAATGTATTATCAAATGTGTTTAATGAATGCTTTTGTTGTTTCAGAAAAAGATAACTGCAATAGTACAAGAAACACGCATACATCCAACACATACCAAGCGCATCAAGGGACTGAAGGTTCGAAAAGTGAAGTGTAGAAACTCACGTTATCCGCAAAAAGTAACAACCTCTCATCAACAAACTGTAATAAAATAAATCTAAAGAGAATCTCGAAACAAATACTAATACAACTACTACAAAGCTACCTGCAATTTTCAGTATTCATTTATTTAATAAAATAGCTACGAATTAAGTAAACTTTTACACGAGACTAATATTAAAATAAATTAAACTAAAACATAGAAGAATATCTAAACGAACTTAAAAGAGGAAATAACAAAGTGATATCAACGGGTTCCACAAAGGCTGAAAAAATACACCTACATTAGTAAGGGCAGGATAAAGGACCTTACTACCAAGTAATCCAAGAAAAGGTGAGCAATATTTTTATTGTTATATTTATAACTTTATGTGGATAAAACTGAATATGTAGTAAGACTCGGTATTGACATGATGTTATTGGATTTTAACCCACAAGAGATGAATTTTGGAATAAGTAACAATTTGATTTAAGCGATTTATAATATTTTATATTATATTAAAGAAAAAAACTTACAATATTATATGAATACGGTTCTAATGGTGCGATTCTGTGTTCACCACTTAACAAACGAACGTACGAAAGCTCCAAGACGCTTCGTACGGCGAAGTTATGGATCGGCCTTAAGTGGTATTCTGTGCGCTCATCTGTAACTTTACCTAAAGTCAACCCCGCTGCACGATAGAATTTGACAGAAAGCGCGCGAGTTTCAAATCTATGGGTTCTTCAATTATCCAAATATGCAACAAATATGTGTTAATACTTATTATTTCTATTCCGGTTCTATACTGACGTTTGAAAAGTCGTAATCAAAAGTTGTTATTGTTCATTGCTTTGATTTTTAAATCACCTTTGAAGAAACACAATCAAAAAATATAAATAATCTTTTATATGCTAAGTATTTGGCTCATTATCAGCAAATACTTGTGAAAAATTGACAAAATATTCATCTCAAATTTATTGGTTTTACTAGTTTTTTTTTAATTTGAAATTTTTGCTTGAAAACGTGGATATTTGCATTTGAAAAATACAGATACACTCGATGCGTGCAATTCTTTGTCATCTTCATCTTTTTTCACATCTGCTGAGCACACGGCTCGGCAAAATATTCCACTTACCAATTTCGATGAATAGGCAGACTGAGACAGCAGACGACCGAGTGCGGTTGTGAGTGAGAACGAAGAGCTGCGGTAAGGCAGTTTCACCCGCGCCAAGAGAGCAGCGCATGCGTACAACATGTTACGAAGGCTATCGGCACCCTCAAGCTGCTCGAAAAATTGAGGCGACCCGAACCCTCCAAAAGACCTCCGTTGGGCACTCAGAATTGCAATCTGCATTCGTTCGACAGTACGGCACTTCGGGTGCTGCTCAGAATAGCACCATAAATTGTTTTGATATCTGCATAAAAATATATGGGACAGAGACGAGTGACATTTATAAGTATTTTTAATACATACATATTTAACATACAAAAAATGATTGCATTTGTAGTGAAAACTTAAAATGTTACGCACAATGCACAGTCGAAGAGAAGTTTTCGCGCAGATATTCAAAAACCAGGCAGGCGTCGAGCCGGAACACGCATATCCGCGCATTAGTGAAGGTATGAGTTCACAGCTGAGTGATGCGAGCCCTGATTATCATCTGTGACCTAGATGCGCACGTGCTCGTCGTTCGCCGCCAGGTTGCGTTCGCATCTCTCGTATTAGCAATTATAGCAACCTTTGGGTTAAGTGTCCCCAGCGAGTCATAAACATCAACAATGTTAACGCAATGAGGTTTTTTCAAACTATGCGCAAACTGTGTTCATTTAATTTTCACATTAATAGATGCATACTGCAATAAGCAATATTAATACGACTCTGCCCAACAAAACTACCTCGTAATAGTGCCCTATACAAATTTCGAAGAAAAGACGGATGACACCGGTTGCTCAGCTTTTATTACCTAGATAAGAAATGACGAAATAGTACGAAATATATTACAGTGCATACAGTTGTTGCAGTTTATACGAATCACAGTCGTCAGGTCAGCAATATTCGTGAGCGTATATTATTTGTCCCTGTGATGATGCCTACTTTCTGACACGTTTCACAGTTGCCGGGTGTAGACCGAACTCGTCGAACACTTGCGCACTATACGCGTTCACATCATAAATGTTCGTTGTAAACTCGCATCAGACTACTACACGTTAAGAATATAAATAAACTCGGCTAAGTGTGTAAGCGCTAACCAACAACACACGTTAAAACAGAAATATCTAAATTGTACGACAAAACGCATTCCAGGCTTCTATTGCAAATAATTTTTCAAAAATCAATAATGAACGGGCGACATTATGCGACCAGCCAAATATTAGAGTGAGATCGCGTGTAAGCAGGACCTATTCGTCAAAGTTCCGAGCGCTTTGCGTCTTTCAAACCTTAGATTTGGCTTTGGATTTGAAAATAGACCATTTGCGTCATTTGTGCGGTGGTACTTTGGAACCGACAGAAAATCAAAATCTGGGATGGATCTGAACATAATGTTGCGGTACAGGGTTAAACACACAATTTGGCCATGTGTTTTTCGCTACTTCTAATACTCTGCCATTATGTAGCGAAAAGGATACGCGTACAAGTTTGAAAAAAATGTTCAACAGTGACTGGTCATGGTTGGAGTGTCAAAAAACCGTTTTTACCTGCCATATAATTTTAGCCTAAGGTACTACTCAGCAACCTTAGGTAAAGATTTTCTGATTCATAGCGTACACTTGTCAATTTGCATTTTTCAAGAGTAATGTACAGTTTTATTTAATACAAATCAAGATAGTTAGGCACATTATCTCCGTTTTAGTAGCAAATTTTACTATTTAGGGAGAATCTTGCTATGGGATACGATTTGAGCGACCTTCGCCTACTTACAAACTAGGTACTTATATAATGAAACGGAATAAAAAAATATAATTGCGCATGAAATTTTCAGTAAATTTCACAAATGTAATCAATTTATTCAAATTCAAAAGCAATTTTACAATTGAAAGAACATTGCATAAAATCAACTCAAGTTATGTATTATAATTAAAAGGTATGATATCTTCCGTATCATAATTCAGTTTCACATATGAATAAATTAAAGTGGCACAATTGCACTAGACTAGCAATCATAACGAAATTGTCATCACAGGTGATTATTGACAACCAATGAGTATTAGTATTCGTGCGCATGGCACAGTTTGTGCTTTGTGTTTTGACTAATGGAATAAACATACGACCCGTTCTGTAACAAACCAACCTAACCTACCTAACCGGCTGAGCGCTGATTGTGTGCGTGCACGGAACGAATTCAAACAAACGGCCAGCTGCTCAAACAGCTGACTAGTGGAAGCATCATGAGCGTGTATAAACCGACGTGGCGGGAGGAGACCGCGAGTCGCACACAACGGCAACGCCAGCCAGTCTGGCTTGAAGTCCTCCGCTCAACCTCGCCGCCCCCCCCGTTTGCAGCGCGCGCGCGCCGCGCCTAGTCAAAGTGATCAGCTGTACAGGGTCAGAACTGTCAGTTCAGTTGTGCTCTGATCTCCCGGTAACAAACGTCGTAACAACAACCGCACAACACACACAACGTAAAAATACTGTAAGTTTTCCCAACGACAGCGCCAATTTTGCAAGTACCTGAACGAAAATACTCAACTAAGTATGTAAAACGATAATACATTTAACCGAGGACGTGAAGATTGATTTATATAAACAATGTACCAAGCAATAGGCTTGAAAAACAATTAGATATGTAAATATCACGTCACACAAGCGCTTTTAGACTAGAAATCAAAAGGATAAGAATTGTGCAAGGAGATGTGTGAGTGTGTGCTGCCCGTGTGTGTGATTGATTGCCGTTGCTGTGTTGACGTTCGCGGACAATCGTTAAGTGTTGTGCATGCGCTAGGAAAAAAGCCATTAAATCAAAATCATGAAAGCAGGCAGCAAAAAAGAATTGAAAGTTCTGATTTCGCATTGGACAGGTGAACCATTTTTTCGTTGTCGGCGACAATGACGGCACTCTTTAACGTGTATTTATTATTTATTAGTGTCAGTTAGCCGTTTAAATTCGAAGCAAGCACTATCACTATAAGTTGCATAAATCGCGAAGCGCATTCGTGTCAATGACTAAGCAAACCAGAATAACGGTGCACCATTTGCAATTTGCGTTACGAAATAGAATTTGATTCGTACACTCATAGTGACTAAACTCCAAGCTATATTAATATGTGATCTTGAACTTGACTTGTCCGCCAAGCTATCAGTAACATTTTGAAATTGCATTTTTTTCTAATGCAAATGCTAGAGCGATTGCGAGTTTTTACCAGACATTGATAACTGCTCACAGGCGCGCCTTGTTACTTTGTTATAAGTCTATTGTCGTGTGTGTTGTATTTTCACGATAATCAGACATTCTGAATGATATCGCAACAGCGAAAATATTTCTTGTCCCTCTTAGTAATTAGAACACCCTTGCGAACCAATTTTATTTAATTAATTCAACGATTAATCAAACAATAACGCCCTCAAGAAGAAAATAAATTACAAGTAAGATTTGCAGGTTGGAAACGATACACGGCGAAATATGATGCAACATTAGACTAATTGTAATAATTTCCAAATTAACTAAGTGGCAATCTGCACAATAGCGTTTTGCATGACGCGCGTTTGTGCAAATAAAAATAGATATTATTCAAGCAGTCACTCGCATAATAGGTGCGGCACTAGGTACTGGTCTACGTTGGCTAGTGTTTTATGTTAAACACAAGTTTATTGTTTGCATTCAACGAAATTAGGACCAACTTTTAAAATTTAATAGGTTTGTTTGTATTCGAGTGTGAGAATTGTGTTTGAACACAGATTATGACGTCTATTAAATTAATCATCGCTTATCAAATAGGGAATAACTTGAACTCACAAGTGAACGTGATTCTAAACTAAACAAAACAGGTAAGCGATACGTCGATACGAACACCTTCAATATATATAAAGACACTTGCTGACCCAGCGAACTTTGTATCGCCATTTTTTCGTGATTATTTCGGAAATTTCTGAAGTTCTTTTACTATTTATATCGTCCCCGTTTTCCCAAGGTTAATGTATTGAAAGTGGTTGCATACTTATTGTAAATTATTAGTTTACATTGTTTAAACGTTTAAATATTAGTTCTTTAGGCAGGAAGCCAATTCAAGTAAAACGCTAAATTGCAACAGTTTCATTTTTTACAGTAAGGTTTCTAAGCTATAAAACTATGTAACTGTAAAGTCGTCGATTTATTTTGTGTTTTCTGATAGGTACGATCCGCGTTAGCCTGTATGTCGGCGACTTATTTATAACTCTTTATAACAAAATAAATATTCGCGCGTATGTACCTTATCTTTCGCGATGCTGGCTGGTGGTTTACTTCGTTTCGTAACTGAAGCTTTGCCAACGATTTTCGAGGAATTTGACCGTCACGAGTAGTATTCCACGTTTTTTGACGACTAGCCGCATTTGTGGAGATGATAGTTGCTATGCGACAGCATTCAAATTATATCTAAGGTGTTTTCTACCGATGAAGCAGGAAAACAATAACTCGGGCAGATTCTCTGCCTAATCTCGAAGCTCTAAGCCTGAGCACGTCCAGCCAGCTCAATTTTATTTTATTAGACTCAGCGCTGTGAGTGCTCTAGCTTCGATTTGAATTCGGCCGACACCTATAGCATTTAAAACTTGGCGAAGGTCGCACACATGGCGTACTTGCGCTTATGTGTTGTGTACAAACATTATGTAATGTGCTATTTATGAATATTTAGAACACACGCGCAATATTTATGTGTGTGTGTGTGTGTTTACTTGCCAAAATCGCTACTTCTTTAACCTGTTTTTTGCTTGATTTGACTATTGTTGATTAAATAAACGTAATTTTTTGGGTTTGCAGACAATGTTCAACAACTTGGCCAGCTACCTGCTAGGAACCGCAAGCAACCAGCAACAAGAAGAGCGTGAAAAGGAAGTGGAACAAATAAACAATATAAGACTGACTACTGCTAGTTGTTCCGTTGACGACGATGATGACGAATGGGTGTTGGTCGATCGTAACGACAGCGAGGGAAATTCAGAGCTCAGCTCCGAGGAGAGCGAATATGAACCGAAGTACGTAGATTTCCATCTGGCAATCCTTCTGATTGCTTTGATTTCACTTACCTCTATTTATTTATTTCTTTATTGGATTTTTTAGCGTGACAGCGCCCGATCAGTTCGAGACGCTCCTCTCCCGCACAAATTCATCTGCGTCACTACCGTACACAGGTGCAATGGCGATGGAGGAATCATGGTTCCTCACGCCGCCACCATGCTTTATCTCTGCAGGGCCGGTTCACATGGAGACATCACCGCTGGAGAACCTGCTGATCGAGCATCCCAGCATGAGCGTCTACGAGCAACCAGTGCTGGCAATTCGTCGTCCAATTGCCACCTTAGAAGCGGTAGCTGATGTCGAGGATGCTCCGGAGACGGAAGATGGCTACCTTGAGGTGGCGTCCGCTGTGGTAGCGCTCCCGGCGCAAGGCAATCGCTTACTCGCAAACAACCGGGCGCTTGTGCGCGCCGAAGTGTATGTGCAGCAGGCAAAGCAGGGCGCCAAACAAGCTCAGAAGGTAAATATTTCCGAAAGCACACTGTAAACAGTTTGGTACTTTCCATTTGAAACTTCAACCAAAACGTTTGATATACCTGTAATGTCTCAATGGTCTTTAGGTGCAGATTCAAAAGGCTTGCCAGTCTTTGAAACGCGGCTATCTGGAGCGCAACAATAAGGCTCGTGACGTGAACTGTCGTAATCAGCGGCTGAGGAGGGGCGAACGTTCGCAGGGCGCCACGCGTTCGCACGCCAACAACAACCGAAAGTGCTGAGTACGACGCCCCCATCCCCTTATCACAACGTCAACACCGATCTCATCTTTGCCCCAACACATACACACCACGCATGCATGGCACAGCTGCAGGCACATACACGTATAATTTAATGCCGCAATTCGTAAATTTTATTTCTGTTTGGGAAACGGCAAGTCTAACAACCACCGCATTATACGTCGTCTACCGTCGTTTTAACTTTACACATCAGCAAATTAAATGAATTAATTACCTAATAATTAAATTAAAAAGAAATCAAAGCACATGTGATTTAGACTAAATTACCAAAGCACCGGTTGTGTTCAACAAAAGCAAAAAAAAGGAATGAAATACAAAATAGAAAAACTCACAATGAAACAAAAAAATGAGATAATACAAAAAAATTTGTGTGAACACAAAAACTATATGCAACCAAACAATAACTGAATTCCCTACGCAGAAAACAAAATAAATTGACAGAGAATCATGGAGTGTTCGGGGCGCTTACTTAATAGATGATATTTATCGTTTATTTCATCCCCTTAAAGGGTTTATCATTTAGTTGTAAAGCTCTGTATATACCATAGTACCTAATTCAAGCGAATCACTGATACTATATACAAACACAAAAAAAAAGCAGACATCATTTTGTTATGTTAGGGCATTTTAGTTTTATGAATACAATTTAATCGATTTGCTCCAACAGATGGAAACAAATAATCTGTCATTTAGACACATGCATACAATTTACTAATATATGAAGAGGAAAATACCAAGAAAAATTAACAATTCAAAGTTAAATTAAGAGCATGTTGGCATCACGACAATTTTTTTGTCATTATATAGTACTATTGGATATCTCTAATCGATTATTGTAGATTCGAATATTAAGTGAGATTTTTATTTTATGTTCCACCTTCATATGTTTTCCATTTGGAAAGTGAATGAGCATACAATTTTTTTTTTGTTATGATAAACGAGTCAAATGGATTGATTAATTTTGAATAATTAAGAATAAATCAAATTTTGTTTTAACAAAGACGCAATGACAAAAAAAACGAGAAACTATATTTTATTATAGCGTATATTTACACTACGATTATCTATATTATATTTTACGAGTATATAAATTAATATATTGATTTGATTCGTTGCGCTGCTAATATTTTCACGTGCGAGTAATTCGAAAAATGTACCTTTATAATTTAAATTATTTAAGTTAGTCCACAATTTGTATTAGTAATTATTTATAGCTAAATATCCGGACATTTTGTTGACTTTTTGTGTTCGATTTTAAAGAATACCCAGCGAATTTTGTTAGATTTTTATGCTACTGTGATGACAATGAAAAAAATATATAAAAACAAACAGTTTTAGTTCTGATTTTAATTTTTTTGAGAATATGTGTGTATCATTTACGCAAATCATCTAAACCAGCGTTTAAAATCACCCTCTTACAAGATCTATTGTATCCAATCAATAAAAGGGAAACAAGTGAATACAAATGTCCAATAACAAGCAAAACATTCAATTGTTTGCATAGGAGTGTAGGAAAACGAAACAAAACAGAATCATCAGACCACAAAGTACAAAATTCCACATATAACTGATTCAATTACCATTTAATTAACTACAATTATTGTATTTGCGCTAAGAGTAATATTACAAACAGAAACATAGAAAAATAGAACAAATAGAATTGTTAACCTTACGATAGTGTCAAACCAAATTCTGTCCAGTCCCTAAAAAACTATCGAATTTATATATGTGTAAATGCCTCCTGCAGAATTCACATAATTCATGCAATTTTCATGAACAGATTTTTGCGGTTAAAAACACAATGGTAATAAACGATAAACTAGTGATAATATTGTAATAGTAATAATTGAATGAATTACAACCACAAAAATGTGCGATTACTGATTTAGGTCTGCCTACATACAATATTTAATTCGCAATGAGTTTTTGGGAAGTATTGCATCATATATTCGATGTATTCAGTACGGTAGCAACTGTCCAACCCCAACATGCAATAAATTTTACGATAACACTTCGAAATAAATTGCTGATTGCAGATATATGAATAAATGAATAGGATGCAAAAATAATTGACATTATTATTCTTATAGAACATTGGGACACACATTGAATTGTTCTATCAATGTTCGCACGTTTAGAATTTCAATTTGTTCATCTATTGTGATGATGAAAACCATGCGACTATAAATTATATATATATATACACTTGTATGCATTTGTATATATATCTAGATCTAGATCTATATATCACAAAATGTAGTTGTGTAAATGTTTTTATTTGTAGACGCCAAGAGAGTTCATGAGTAATTTATTATTGTGCGAATGATGTTTCGGGCTTATTGTCTAAAAACCCAAAATGTCTAGATTCCGCACGGTGCAGGCAAAAATGTAATTATAAATGTATTGATTACAATATGACGCTAAAATAATTATGATTAACTTAGAATGTACAACATTACTTGCACTCTTATTCTACGATAGAATATATAATTGCTAACGATAAGTTTTGTGGATGAACGAAAGAGGCGCATGTAACAATGTATGATGTATTGTATTTAAGAAACTGATTATGAATACGATTTTGAAGTACCAATGCAGAAACACTTTGACCCACACTGACACATCATGTTCGAATATTTAAAATGTGATGTATCCATTTAGTTACGAATTCTAAACACTCGTATATTATGAGTTTATCGAAAATATGAAAAGCGATACCAAGTCAAAAATTGACCATCAATACAATTGATACATAGATTGTTCAATCTATATTTTACTATATGAGAAATTACTCTTGAAACCAAGTGCTGTAAAAATAAATGAAAATCTTATGGTAAAAAAATGTGAAGATATGTCACGCGCAAGCGACAAAAAAAGTTATAAAAGATGCAAAAATGTTATTAAAAAAAAAACAAGATTTTGAAAAATAAAATTAAAAAATACTTCTGTTACGTTCTTGTCTTGAAACAAAATTACTATTTCCAACAATTTCCAAAATATGTTACCATCGATCAAATCGCTTTTGTTACTATAGTTAAATCAAGTCTACTAATCTGCCCAGCGCGCTCCACAAGCATACACGTAATTAAACTTTCAATAATAAACGTTTTTCTACTTCCAACGTTAAGTTTTGAGACGCAAAAAGTGCTACATTAAATACAGACAGCCAAGGCCGTGACTAAAGTACATGAATTTCAAAGATTTAAAATTCAAAAGTTCAAGTACAAAACCCTCAAGTGGAAATAGGCGAAAGTAGAAAAAATTGCGTAAGCAACACGTGGCTTAATGTTGTTAAACATAGCAAATTTAATTTACAAATTTTTATATGTCATTTGAATTATTTTGGCGGCAAACAAATGTGGCAAACGCCCTGGGCGAATGTATGCCGCGGAGAAACGTCGCGCGGCAAACTGTCTACCCCTCCCTCCATGTCCCGCCAAAATGTTTACCATGGTAGCAATTGTAAATGAACCTACAAATCGGTGATCATATAAAATAACTTTGTTGCCGGTGTCGTTTATAGTCACAGTTTTTTTTTCTGTTCTTCCTAAAACAGTGTAAAATAGTGTACCATGACTGATGATCCGAAGTTAAGGTCGCCGTGCAGAGTAAAGTTGGAGAGGACCGTATTACATACGCCCGCAAAACAGTTGGCATTAAGCGCAGAGCTGCGAAATGTAATCAACGAACGAAACATCCTAACGATAAATTCACGTAAGAAAATGTTATTCGAACTTGATCAACACGTCGCGAAGGTGAAAGAGGATAAAAAACTAAACACTCTGCAAGAAATACTCACTAGTGAACTGGCATATATCAGCCAGATTGAGATAATACAAGATTTTTTTATGAAACCCATCAGACATCAGCAGCTTCTTAAGTCAAATGAGTTCGAGACTCTTTTTAGTAATATTAACTCTATTTATAAAGTGAATGGGGCTTTGCTTGAAGAGTTGAAAAAGGATTTGATGTATTTAACTGGTGCATTTCATAAGATGGCTCCATTTCTGAAGCTTTATTCAGAATATGCTTTTAATTTCAAGCATTCCATGGTCACTTTGGATGAACTAATGCATAAGAATAAGGCTTTCAGTAAGTTTATTCAGGGACAGGAAACAAGGCCAGAGGTGCAAACCAAGTTGAGCTCTTTGTTGATTGCTCCCATCCAGAGAGTTCCAAGGTATTGCTTGTTAATTAAGCAAGTTTTGGATAATACTTCCCACAAAGATAATGATTACAAGATTCTTGAAGGTATGTCAACTTTTTTATAGTTTCTGGCTTCAATCCAAATTATTTCAAATTGTATTAAAATATATGTATTTTGAACAGAAACATATGAAAAATTGAATGATGTTGCTAAACATATTGATGCAACTGTTCAAGAACGCCAAAATACTGAAGCCCTTTTGTCCCTGGCCTCTAAAGTCAAGGATGGAAATACATTGATAATTAAGCCAGGACGTAGATTGATAATGCAGGGTGTAATGAATGTATATTCACCCAAAAAGGAAACTACTAAAATTTACATGATATTATTTAGTGATATAATCATGTTTTGCAACATAAAGAAGGAAATGATTGACCAACCCAATTCTCTTAAATGCATGAGCATTTTCCCACTATCGAAATGCATAATTTCCCAGAACGTGAACATGATGCTAGTGATCCGTTGTGAAGAGGAGTCTATGACACTTTATTGTGACTCGGACATAACTGAATGGTTTACCATTTTAAAGCAAACATTGAGAGGTTTACATAAGGATAGGTCAACATTAAGGAAGGGTAGTTCATCGCGACGACCAGCTGTCAGGTTTCATTTTGAGGCATACAAAGACTATGGAGTTAGTCCAAGCTTGAAAGGAATGCGCAAAAGGAGGCGTTTTGTCGACATCGATGATGAAGCCGATGCTGGACCTCAGGTATTGGTACTACTTTGATTAAAAATAAAATGTTTATAAAAAAATCGCATTTGTAACAGGAACAGCCAGTAAAGAGGACGAAAACAGTTGAATGCCGAAAATCAATCCGAACGATGATACCCAAACTAGTATTGAATCCAAAGACAATTTTATGCGGTAAAAAATCTAAATCACTTAATACAGAAAACAGCCCGATAACTACGGAAACCACTTCGGAAAGTATCGAAGAAAATGACAACAAAGACCAGAGCGCTAAAAAGGACACCTTATTTCCTCTCCGCGAACACTTTTTAGACAAAGAACGTGAACGTGAAGATCAAGTTGAGAGCAGTAATACGGTAAGTAACACATCCGTTGAAGCCTATCCAACAAATGTATTTGTATTCGGAAGGAATACAAATCGTGCAAGTACATTTTCCTTGGGGGGTATGCTGACCGGGCTTTCGAACTCTATTAAGAGAGTTATGGGTTTTCGTTAAACCTTTGCACTAACTGAAAAAGATGACTGTTGAAGCACCTTTTACATATGTATTACATAATTTATGTACGCTTCTTTGCGATTGTGCCTATAATGACAATGAAAGTATTTTATCATTTTAATTATATGCTAGTTTATTCTACATATTTATACAAAAAGAAATAGTAATTAAATTTCTTTTACAACTTTTAGGAATTGTTTGAGTCTCTTACTGTCAAGATGGTTTTGCCATTTACCATCTTCTTTAAAATATGATCCAATAATACAAGCGTCGGCTTCGCGATATTGTTCAAAGTTCTCCAAAGTTATTCCAGACCCAATCAAAACAGGCACGTTGCAATTTACCTTTAAATCTTTTAGTTCTTTTGGAGACGCAGGTCTCCCAGTTGCGGTGCCGGTAAGAATAACTCCGTCCGTGAGAAAGAACTCAGCCGCATGAGCAGTCTCCACCAACGAAACATCGCTTGTTACTGAATGTGAACTGAAACATACGAAAACAGTAGTAGCATCATATAACTTGCATAGATTCACTATGTGTGCCAGTTGTCTTTAACTTTGTCTTATTCTAAAGTTAGTTTATAAACCTGTGTTTCTTTTTGATGTCAGTAAATATGAGAACGTTATCGGCGTCGATTTGTTTGCGGTAGCGAAGCAAGTCTCCTGCGCAAGCATCTGTGTATCCTTCGTCGGCAACATGCCCGAAGACAAATCCTTCAGCTCGGATGTAATCGAAATTGGTACATTTCGCAACTGCAAGGGCCTCCTTGTTTCCTCCAGCTAGTATCTGTTAACTACTGTTTGAAAACGTGTATTATTTACAAATGCACATTATTACCTGCAAACCTAATGGTATGGTGCAGTTTGTGAGTAGTTGTACTTCGTGGCAAACGCGTGTCATGGCGGCAATTATTTCAGCTCCCAAGTTATTCGCCTGAATATAGGGAATATCGTGCATGTTTTCAACCAATATGGAGTCAATGCCAGCAGTGAGATAGATTTCAGTTTCTTTTCGGACTTTATCGATGATTCTTTGGAATTTTCCAGCGTACAATGGCGTACCTACAGAGAAATATTTTAATTTCATAAATTTTGACCATTTTTTTTATGCTACCAGTGTTCCAACACGTTCTGAGCCATAGTCTCCAAATTAAATACCAAATAAAATCTTTTAACTCGAGCTTAATTTTAATTAAGAATTAAGTCGATGTCGCAGTGATTTTTGAACAAGTTCAAAGTATGTTCAACGTCGTATCATAGTCGTGTTTCATCGTTACATTGCTCACGTTGATATGATTTCGCAGTAAGGCGAAGTAAAGAAGTCGTGCTTAAATTTTTAAAATTCAATCTCACCCGGCAATGCCTCTACGTGCAACATTCCGATAACCTGACATCGTCTGGTGGTAGTGGCAGCGGCTATGGCCTTGTCGAACAACTTGGTGAAGCGGCTCATCGTCGTACTCGTGCTCACAGAAATAACCACACATTCACACGCGATAATTCTCATAACTGAAGGCTATTACAGTCGACTCTCGTTAGTTCTAAACTCGAGGGGCTCTTAAAATATTACAAATTTTGGATTGTTTGAAATATCAAATGGTTCGAAATGTCTGAGAGAAAATAAATAAAATTTCGAATTATTAAGTGTTGATTAATTATTGTTTATTAACTGCTATTCTATAACAATGGCAAAATTTTAGAGGTACATTCGCATATATACATGAACGTATAATGTGAATGAATTAAAGCACATTGCTGCTGCTCAGACTGCTTAATAAGTTTTTTTTACAAAATACATACTTTATTACTAAAAGTTCTTTAAGACATATAAAATATAAAGCAGCAAGTTGCCTCTCCAAGCCATAAAATTCAAATCTGCGCCTCGTGCAACAAAAATTTACCGACTTATGGCAGTAAATGTGAAAATAGAGTGGTAAATTTACATTCAATTTACTGTTACAGGTGGGAAATGAACGGTAAATTCACATTTACCAAATGCAATGTCAAATGTATATCAGGAAAAGGTTTTACCCCCTAAAGCACATTTACCGTAACATATACACGGAATGCAGTAGTAAAAGTAGTAGTAGTCTGAGTTTTTATCTATGATGATTGTACTTCCATACATTCACTCTGGTAGGGATAATTGGCAAAATCTGACTAAAATATTTGGTTTATTATGTTTGTCACAAGAAATATATCGACATTTGAAAAACAAAATGAAAAAAGGCGAAGTTCACCGGGCAAGCCAGTAATTAGATAAATATTCTAAAGGAAAACAATTATATAACGTACACTTAAATTTAACTTTATTGGTAAAATGTAAGAAGAAAAAGTATATCACCAATAGTATGGTTAAATGGTTCAAAATGATAATCAATAACGTCGATCGTCATGTTATAGTATTTGGATGATGCAGAATATTCAGGTTGAAATACTCAGAAATCAACACGTAACGAGTAATATTTGCAAAATTACAGTAATATATTACAATATTCATGATTTATGCTATAAGGTTTACACTATCAGTTTATTGTATAAAGGTACCTTTATGAGTGGTTATTCAGATGAATAAAATCACATGAGTTTAAAAATAATTTTTTTGCTGAAAATGGCTCGTCTCTGGGCAAAAAAATCCTCAATACGATATTTCATAATGTTTAAGATTCATCTTACATCATAAGTTAATTATTGTTGCACTATTTCGCTCATCTATTCTTAACAAAACACATTGATGTTTCCAAAATATTTATGAGGTGTTACAATGTTAATTTTTTATAGCTTTATGAATAACAATTCATAAAGTAAAATTTGCTTCTATTTTCTTTTTTACGTTTTGGAAGTGCTAAATGTAACCGTATAATTTTAAATCTTGTAACCCTTGAATCTTTATATTGTCATTGGTTGCTTCAAACTTTCCATGTCAATAATTATTATGTGGTCGTTACTACCCAATTCAAATTATTAAGATAAAATGTGCCAAATTGTATCTGTGTGCGATTATAATACGTGAAGCGAATAAAAAACATCTTGGACATTTTTGTATTTGGTAGGAAATGTGGACGAATTCGTTGATTTGTTTTCATTGTGGTTACAATATGTGGCAAATATTTAGAAAACTAACAATTAACAATAGCAATATCACTAAAGATAGTTGTCACCACATTTAAGAAACAACCAATCTTTTTTAAGCTATCAAATTATCACAATTACAAAAGGGACCTTTTCGTTCATTCATATTTTACACATCTACTAAATTTATACCACTAATTACACTAATGATTGTGTGTGATCGAGGTTTATGAAAATCTCATTTAATTCGTCTTACTTGTAACTAATTGATTATAATATTGCTAATTTGCTAACTGTCGAGAAGCTGGCCTCTAAATGTTAACCTTTTTATGCTACTTATGTAGTAACTATATGAAATTAATCCCATGAGTGTACGTATTAGAATGCAATATACGCACATGTTTTTAAGTATCCCAATTTTTTATGCGTGTTACAAGCAATTTATCTTTGCATTCGTCAATAATTAACAATTACGAATTAATAATGAATGCGCCATTAAATTGTTACTCCGGCGACGATGTCTTTTTTACTCATGCTTCTTCGGACTCGAGAAGGTGCTGCGCCTCAATACCGGCGTTTGTGTTGAACGTTTGCGGGAAACGTTTATTCAGTGCCGCAATCGTCGTAATGTTCTGCTGCCGCTTGATTACAAGCAATGTGATGGCCGCCCCGCAGCTCACTAGCATTAGCGATACTATGACAGCGACTACTACAATCGAGAGAAATAATACAGAACAAATACTAGTGAGCCAATATATTAAAATTACTGACTATAGAAATATTATTTTGTGAGGTAATGTGGATGAGGCAATGAATGAAGCAATCAATAAAAACGATGTAACATTTCCGACGTATTTAATGTGAGTATAAAAACTTGTAGTTGAAGCAAACAGTACAAAAACCACACTACTCCTGCGCACAAACCAATGAAAACAAAAACACAAAGTAATACCCTGCCTACAAAGTATTACATACTAGTAAATAATAATGGGCTATCCACATAAAGTGTAAGCATTCAAATTTATAAACCCATTGAACTACACTGTGACAACGTCTCATTTTTAATACATGTTATAAAAAAAACTGATGTCATATGTGTGTAATTGGTCTTAACACTGTTCCCCTTACAAAGCGTGAAATTTATTCGGAAGCAGAGATGATGAAGTTTCATGCTAGTAATTATATTATATTATAAAGCAAGAACGCATGCAAGGACGAGCGAATAGTTTTTGATTTTGATTTTATTCCATAAAATATGAATGGCTCCAGTATATTGATGGTTGCCCAGCCAAATGTCAACAGGTTGAATAGGAACTAATATACTCTACTTTAAATGAAACAACATGCAACTACCTCCGACTTTCTATCTATATTAGTTTTTAAAATATGTATAATGTTAATATGTGTTATTTGGTTGCAGGATATGAAGGAATTAATAAGCTAAACTCGAGATTTTGGCTTTTTACCTGCTATTCCCAGCGTCGTGAAGTGATTACGTTCGGCTTGCGAGACTAGAATGGCCTTAATATTCGCCGAGCTGCCGTTATTAGCGACCGGCTTAATTTCTAAAATATCACAGAACAAATTGTACAAGTCGACGGTGTGGAACGGCGAAACCTTATGCTGCTTCTTGATCTTGGGGCCGCGCGCCATGAAGAATGGATGCATGTCCGTGTCTTCGTTGTCATAACCATGCACGCCAAATTGCGATTCGGGTGTGACTAAACATAAACGCAATGCAACACAATTTAACTACAGATATCAATTGAACTACTTACTGTTAATGTGATATTTCAAAGCGTATGTTTGCGCAGCTTCAGCTAAATCCTGAAAAGCATAGCCTGGATCTGCAAGTACAAAAATCGGTGGCGCTCGTCGATTATTTTTGAAGTGCCATTTGCTCGGTAGATCTTTCTTCCAATAAACCGAAAAGTTTCCGTGTTCCCTTGATGCCTGTCTTAAATTCTTGTAGGTTTCTTGCTCGAAATCTAGAAGAAGGTTTTAATAATGGCGTTTATTAAGATACGTATTAGCTAATTCGAAATCTTGAGCTGAATTTATACCGATTCAGAAATACTACTCCACACTATAGTTCAACGCACCTACCTGAATCTGGAATAATATGCAAGCAGGGCGAAGTATCGGCAATTTCATATGTGTTACTTTTAAGGAACTGAGTAATATTGATGAAATTTGGCGGACTAACAGAACTCATACCATGGTCGCTCAAATGAATAACATTAACATAATCAGCTAGGTCATTGGCTAACAATTGATCCTAAAACTTTCACTCTTACAAAATGTTCAAATAAGCATTACTACCTTACATCAATGTAGCGCGTAATATTATCCAGACGCTTTAACAGATTGAAAACTGTGTCTGATTCTGGACCATAGACATGCCCATGTGTATCTGGCTCTTCAAAGTATAACATAACAAGATTTGCAGGTTTTGTTGGATTTTTAATCCATGAAATTATCTATTAAGAAACAATTCGATGTAAAAGTAGAAATATATTTTATCAGGGACTTACAGTATCCACTCTTTTGTACCAGTCTGCATCAATGTCCCAATCTTGAATATATGTGATGTTTTTATTGTTGTACAAGTATTTTGCACCAGGCCACATCATTGACCCGGAGTATCGCCCGGCGCCCCTTATTTCATTCAAAGTCTAAAACAAAAAAATGCTAGTTAATATAAATCACTAAGTAGAATACATGTTTGATGAGACAAATCATAGTGCATAGTTTCACAAACATGGATACAAGAGCATCAAAAACATTATAATTTGGACACTACAATAAGTCCTTAATTTTGATCAAATACAGAAATGTTTTTATTAAGTATTTAACTTACCCAAATAGGAATAATATCATCTCTAAATCTCCACATTTCCTCACTCATCTTGATTACCCGTTTGAGTTTTGGATCATAGAAGGAGTTGCCTACAACTCCATGACTCTCTGGATATAAACCAGTAGCAATGCTGTGATGGTTAGGAAACGTCTTCGTTGGGAAAACATTTAACATGTAGTCGGCGTAGGTGCCCTCCTTACGCAGCTTATCCATGTAGAGTGAGCCATTCTTCTCAAAATAGTTGTATCTGAATGCATCGTATGACACCACGATCAGCACAGGATGCTGCGAGATACACGTTACAACGTCGAATAACGCATTCACGACCAACAAGAGCAGCAAAATCATGCCCGAGAATTCGATAATTTTGCTAATTTCACTGATTCACTCCGAGAGTTAAGGGTAAATCCAGTGATTGGGACTGTTGCAGTGACAGTGATGTTTTCTTCGTGTTGATTTATCAGCTGTTTCCGAATGACATGCGAGACGCTGCAGAGCCCTGCAGGATATATGTTGGCGACCACGAGTACACGACGCGAATGAGCGCAGAATATACAAGTATGGGCCATAAAATATGATCGTGTGAAGAATAGACATTGTGACTATTTTTGAAACACAACTCTTTAATAGTTTTGAAATATAAAAAAGATATTTTGGGAAAATTGTTGCTTTGGTGCATAATATACATTTAGTTTGTAATTTTTGAATTCATGTTACTAATATAGAACGCTTGTCTATAACAGCGTTTCCCAAACTTTTTAGACCGCAGGTCGGTAGATTTTGATTTATTTTTGCGACCCAGCTCATGAAAAAAATAAACAGTTTGACACTATTCTTAATCAATGTAATAATATGAAATAAAACATTTTTGGTTTACCACACATATGCCGTGACTCACAATAGTTTTATATTGTATCGTTTAACGACCGTGACATTTCGGATAAAACTATTAATAAAACTCAAAAAGTTGAAAACTGGGGTAGGGCGGACGTTATAACCGTAGATTACCAAATTAATTCTTCTTCTAATGAGCAAAGTTACTTAAAATACTTGTACTATTTTGTGCACTTTGTTAGGGTAGCGCTGGTGTCGGTCCGAAGCGCGCTCAATTGAATTATTCCAAGGTCGTGAAAAGCTGAATGTTACAATGTTGAACAGTATTGATCAGCCACCTTCAACTCCGGGTTACAGAAAACGACTCAATGTTGTCGCTATTTGCAGAGAGCGCTAGTAGTATAGTTGCAACGGTTGCAATATAGTTGCGTAGTTTAGCCATATGATAATCCCTCTAGGTGGCGCTGGTAGTTTAGTTGCACGACAGCTGTTTACCGTATGTGTTGTTATCATTTGGTTAAACTACGCAACTATATTGCAACCGTTGCAACTATACTTCTTAGTAAATATACGCTCTCTGCAAATAGCAACAACATTGAGCCGTTTTCTGTAACACAGAGTTGAAGGGGGCTGGTTTTAACTCTCGTTCTCTTCTTTGTTTTAGCAATCGCTTTCGAGTTCCGATCGCAGTCATGAGCTAAAATTGAATGCGAATTTGATTCGCTTCGTCGGTCGACTTCCGATTTAAAATAAAATATATAATGCCCTTGTCGAAGTGTTGCAACGCATAAAATACTGGTAAGGTATCATTACTTGCTTCTTTTATACACTCGTGTTCGTAATACATATATATTTTTAATCATTTCGCACGAACGGGGCGGCGCACAAACTTTAGCGGAGCATCTAGAGATGTAGAATTAAATTCTCCGTCGGGTTGTACTTGTCTGTTGCAGGAAGTCGACCTGCAACCCGCGAAAATTTACATAAAAAGGTGATTTATCGCTTTGTCACCTTTTTTTGAGAAATATTTGTATTTTTACGGGTTTGTACGCTACCTTGTCGGCTGAATATTTGCATTAAAATTGCAAAGTTTGGTTCATTTATTTTGAATTAATACATTCTAGCGACATTTACATTTGAAGCTTTGAGTTATGTGTAAAAATTGCTATTCGTTTAGATAGGGTGGTGCATGCGCAGTTGCGTGTACGTGTGACACATGGCACTGCCATTTCAGTGCGTGACCATACACTGACATATAGCCAATCACTCACTGCCTCATATCCACGCCACACTTTTTGATACACTTTGTATATTCTTGAGGTACTCAAAAGAAACCTCAGATGGCGCAATAATGCATTTTTCGCTAATAATATTCTTACGAGTGAAAGTCGCCCAGTTGCCCAGTTGTTGTGTAGCCGGCACGTAACTCATACTTCGTGCGATAAGTACTGATACATGGATATTCGTGTTTCGTCTTGTATATTCGTTATATCGCGTTATATTTGCTGGAATTTAGTGTTAATAGACGGGTTTTAGTCGCTAAAAATTTATCGCGTAATCTTCGGAATTCATTATTTTTGTGTGTTTATTAGTTTCGTGTGTATCTGGGATCGCTTGCCGTCGGACATCAGTCGGTCAGGTTATGTGATTGTAAATAATATTTTGAAGTTGTGTGAATCATTTTTGTCTTCAGCAGAACACGACGGGCGGCTGTTTTTCCTGGAAAATATTATTATTTAAATAATTGTGGCAAATAAGACAATATTTAAGGCAAAGTTATAACTAATGTTTTGTTTCTTGTTTATTTCAGTATCTACTTGCATTTGATTTACGGTGTTCGATAGACTGGTGAGTGAAATTTTTCATCGTTCATAGTATCTATTTTTCGATTTTACTGTTTTCCTGCAATTAGAGAATGAATATCTTAAACTTCCTTTTACGGAAATTTCGGTCAAGCATTTTATCATAGTAAAATTTTACTCTAGGACTTACATTTTCCGGAGAAAAATTAAATTTGATATTTGAAGTTTTTATTTTGAATGTTGCCATAAAAAGTAAGTAATATAGTTTTCCCGGAATTTGATAAAATGTAAACACACATTTTCCACAGAAAAATTAAATTTGGAAATTTAAAGTTCCTATTTTGTATGTTCCTGTAAAAAGTGTTCATGAGCATTTTATTTTAGTAATATTTTTCACTGGGACTTAGTTTTCCCGTAATTTGACAAAATGTGAACTTACATTTTCTACAGAAGAATTAAATTTGTAAATTTAAAGTTTTTATTTCGGAAATTGTTATAGAAGGTCTCCCTGAACATTTTATTTTAATAAAATTTTACTTTTGGCCTCATAGCTTTCCTGCAATTTGATCAAATCTGAGGTCACATTTTCCACAGCAAATTTAAATGAGTAAATTTAAAGTTTTTATTTCGGATGTTGCTATAGAAAGTCCTCCTGAGTATTTTATTTTAGTAAAATTTTACTCTACGACTCATAGCTTTTCCGTAATTTGACTAAATGTGAACTTACATTTTCCGGAGATAAATTAAATTTGAAAATTTTAAGTTTTTATTTTGAATGCTCCAGTAAGAAGTGCTCCTGAACATTTTATTTAAATCAAATTTTACTCTTGGACTCATAGTTTTCCCGCAATTTGATCACACGTGAACTCACATTTTCCACAGAAAAATAAAATTTGATAATTTAAGGTTTTTATTTTGGATGATGCTATAAACCGTTCTCCTGTTCATTTTATTTTAGTAAAATTTTACTGTTGGACTCATAGTTTACACGTAATTTGCTCAAATGATATAATACCTCTCAGCAGAAAACTTTCAGTTGTTTTTTTAATATAAATTGGCTTTAGAATTCAGTTGGAATTGTTCATTGCTAAAATATAAACCTAAATAGTATAGCAATACATGTTAAATATCACTTAAATATTTGATGTAAAATCGGTAAATCTTTTAGCATAAGAAATAATAATTTCATGATTTGAATTTTATTGTTTTAAAAATTTTATTAATCTAAATTTCGGGACTACTATCTGTAGCATTCATAGATGGCACTAGGATGTACTAAAAATCATAAAATCGAATTATACGACTTATTTTTCTTTTTATCGACAAACGTGGCCACGAGAATAATTTTGTATACAGTGCTGTTATCAGCGATTCGATATAAACAACTTTTTATTACATGTGTCCCGCGCACCGTCTTCCACGCCGCATCAACTTGCTGCATACAGTACATTCTAGTTTAGTTTAGATCGCAGGTATCGTGTCTATTGCAAATCGCGTAGGTAGTCTTATTATAAATTGTTGCGACCTTGTTTGCTTTGCTGAAGTACATCTTGCAATACTGTAACACTTTGTCTTATAGAGAATTTCTCGTAGATTAATATTTTTTAATCCGTTCCTTATACCGCTTTTAGTTTACGAGATATTCGTAATTGAATGAATTGGGTGGAAAAAGAAAAATTGCACTTTTGAGCACTTTTAGTCACGTTTTTTGCCCTTTTACCCCACGAAAATCTTTCATCATGAGAAATTAGAACTCGAATTTTAATTTTTAATTAGTTTTAATAATTTTAATTACGGGACTACTATCTGTAGCATTCAGAGATGACACTTGCCTGAACTAAAAATCATAAAATAGAATTGTATTATTTATCCGCATAGTTTGGCATTCGATACATGAAATGTGTTTGTTTTGAACACAATTATTATCGAATGCCCGTGTGTCGTCGTTGCCATCCCCTCACGCCGCACGTTGTCACGTCCATAGTTTAATTGTGATCGCAGGTAACATGCCTGTTGCAATTCACGCACAAGCTCGCGTGTCATCGGCGGGCCGCTTCGCGCGGGGTTCATACTGTAGGCACATTGTCTTATTGGGAACTGTCGCATCGTTGCTTGCGCTATCGATGGATTGCAGCCAGTTTCGTGCAGCTCGCTGGCGTATCCAGACGTATTTCGCGCGACTCGTATCACTTTATCGGACTATTATTTTCTAAATTTGCATTGTATTCGGTGATCAATTGACTATTTAGTTGTAACTTTCGTCTGCAGTGTTTTGATAATGGTTAATTGTGCGTTTACTATCCATAATTTTTATATATTTGCGTTTGATGTTTACATCCCAAATGCATATTGTTGCCATGGTGTTTCCCGTCATTAGGAGGTCCCCTCGTACATGAGTAAGTAAGTTGTTATATTATTCGGTCAAATGTTTTATGACCTGCGTGTTGCAATATTTTAATTGCGGCTAAGATAGAAAACGAAGGATACGACAAAGTTTGCCCTTTTCTTGCTATTTTCAAAACACGCGGTGGGAAACTGGCCATATCTCGGGAACCCTTTGTCATATTTTAGCTGTTTCTCGATTTTATTATAGAGTAAAAGTGCATTTTTAAGATGCACCCTGGAACCCCCGCTAAATTCGGTCGTAATTGCCTCAAAATGGCCGCTAAAATTTGCCCTTTTCTTGCCATTTTCATAACACGCGGTGGAAAACTGGCCATATCTCGGGAACCTTTTGTCATATTTTAGGTATTTCTTGATTTTATAATAGGGTAAGAGTGCATTTTTAAGATGCACCTCTGAACCCCCGCGAAATTCGGTATTAACTGTCTCAAAATTTCGGCTAAAGTTTGCTCTTTTCTTGCAATTTTCAAAACACGCGGTGGAAAACTGGCCATATCTCGGGAACCCTTTGTCTTATTTTAGCTATTTCTCGATTTTATTGTAGGGTAAGAGAGCATTTTTAAGATGCACCCTCGAACCCCCGCTAAATTCGGTCGTAATTGCCTAAAAATAGCCGCTAAAGTTTACCCTTTTCTTGCCATTTTCAAAACACGCGGTGGGAAACTGGCCATATCTCGGGAACCCTTTGTCATATTTTAGCTATTTGTCGATTTTAATATAGGGTAAGAGCGCATTTTTAAGATGGAGCCTAGAACCACCCCAAAATTCTGTCGTAACTGCCTCAAAATGGCCGCTGAAATTTGCCCTTTTCTTGCAATTTTCAAAACGATGAAAATATAGCCATAATTGTAGTGTTTGAAAGTTTGTCGTTGACGTATATTCTGAAATGAAGTTGTTTTCTTTTTGTATCACCCTGTATATTAGTTTCCTTGATTGTCAAGTGAAAACGAGCAAGGTCTATAGTGTTTAGAGTTTTTTGTTTGCACCTTAAATTTTTCTTTTGTATCACCCTGTATTTTCATTTTCAATAACGTAGAAAATGAACTATTTTCTAATTTGTTTATCCTGAAAGAACTTTATGATCTGGCGCTTGCTTATACGAGTATGTGCACGACTATGCTCGTCCTGTTTGAATATGGCGACATGTATTTTGTGGACTTATAAACTTGTATTCTATTGTTAATAAAGATATAGTAAGATATACCGAGTTCTTTGATGTGTGTGTTTGATTGTGTGTACCCCTTCTATCATTTCAGGTACAGGTCTCTATGAGAGTTCCCTCTCTCAGGGGATGATCCCCACTATAAAAATTGTTAAGGTATCTTGTATGATTTGTGTACTCCTTCTTTCATTTCAGGTACAGGTCAGAACTTGTAAGAATATTTTTGAGTGTCACCTCTCTTGAGACGACTTGAAACTTAGAAATATTTGAACAAGACCTTACAAGGATTGTCCTTATAAGGAGTTCCCTCTCTCTGGGGATGATCCCCCACCATAAAAATTGTTGATATGCCTGATAATTCCGGGGATGAAGCGCAGAGACATCGTAGCTGTAGGATGGGCCGGGAGCAATGGACACATCGAAGCAGGGAGATCGACCTTAGACTGTCTAACGACACGGACCAAAAAATTTAAAAATCTGATCCACTCCTGCCTGTTCTCTCTTTCTTCTATCTTCTATCTTCTCCTCTTCTCTACTACTTCATTCTTCTTGTTCTCCTATTTCTTCTATTCTCTGCTCCTTTCCACTTACTTGCTTCTCTTATTGCCTTCGCTTGTATTGTAATTTCTCTTACATTTCGTTGCAGTTCATATTGGCAACTCAAATTACACCTGTTATTTTTATATTTGAGAAAAATGCCTTCTACACCTGAGGTTCGATCCGTGTCTACTAGCATGCCAGCAGGTGCACGTATCCACTCGACCACCGAGTGATTTTATCATTGTTATTTGATTCTTCTATTTATGATTCTACTTTATTCAACTTTTTGAAAACAACAACACAACACAAACAACAGCTATATATTGTACACGCTCGACACACTTAAGATTTATATGGAATATGATTTAAGACATCAATCCTGCAAACGGCAAAGGGGAAATCAGAAATAAATATGAAGAAGTATATAATATTACATTATGTTTTATTAGCAACATTAAAAACAACATACATTTATTTAAAATCAAAAATCATAGACAGCTCTTAAATCTCCTGAAAGTAAAACTTGCTTTGACTCCTTGGCACAAGTGCTCCTAAACTTATTCAACAAGCATCAACGTTGTTTATTTATACAAATTAAAACACATAACACAAGGTGCCAGCAAACATTAAAACACAAACAACTACAACACAATACAAAACATTTTCATATAAAAACGAAATCTACGTGGACAGTACAACAAACATGTATGTACACATTAAAACTCAAGACAATACAGCAAAGTCATATACACAATAAAAGGAGTTCTCAAGTTTTACATGCACAATTACATAACACAAAGAGCAATCAAGGA